AGTGATGGTGACAGTGGCTGCCAGCCCCGAGGCAACAGCAATGCCTGCAGGGAAAAAGCACAACAGTCTGTGAGAACAAACATCCTTCTTTTGTCAGAGGAATTACAGGCGGAAAATCAACTTCTTACATAATGATCAATGTTTGAGTCATATTCAACAATTTGCTGAATCATTCCTTCTTGTAAAATATGCATGTCATGATTATGTGGGCATCTGTTATAATAGCATCACTTACAATACTTGGCTCCATCCACAGCAGCCACAGCCTTCTCAAGACAGTCTCTTGAAGGGTTCCCACTCCGGCTGTATTCATAGCCCTACATAAAAACATGATTAGAAGATATTTTAGTAACCTAAATCAACATTTGTAATAGTGCACTGTGTTTCAAACAACAAAAAGCAGTGTTTTGGAAGAAAATCAGTCAAAATACAAGTAAGGGTAATTCAAGACCCCTCTGCTTAGTTGTGCTTTAATACATTTTAGCCCAGCAGGAAAAGAACACTGGAATCAACCTATCATAGAATCTTCGTTGACTTTAAACCGAGTCTAGATGTGTTACGGTTGCTGTTTGTCTGCTAGGTTCACGGGTTTAATGTAATCTCCAAACTTGTTTGCGCTTGCCACCTTCACCTGCAGCCAGCGCCTACAATTATTGGATCAAGGCTGAAACTGTGAGAACACCCAGGGCAACTGAGAAAAGAACAACTCACTTTCAACAGAGCTGCAAAAATGATTTGAGTTAGTACTTGACAACTACTAAATTAAACGTGAACTATTTTGATCATTTGGAATTCAGTAATTGTTTGAGTCAATCCAGCTTAAAAAATATGAATATTTCCCGTTTTTGTTGTTGTATTCCTCTATGGCAGTTAACTGAAATATCCTTGACTTGTGAACAAAACAGGACATTTGAGGTCGCAGCTTAGGCCTTGGGGAACATTGTCACAATGTTCTGTCTGACATTTTATAGATGCAACATTGAATCAAGAAAATAATGAACAGATTAAATTGGGAATTCAAATATTTGTTATTTTCCGCCCTACTTTCTCAAGCATGTTAGACAGCTGGCTATGATAAAGTCTGGATGTTGTTGAGTGATACATGGGGCTGTGGTAAAGCAAACAGTGGATAAGCTTTATGCAACTGTTGCTGTCAGAGTAGTCAACCTATTTCTGAAAGAGCAGCAGCTGCCGTTTTGAAAGGTAAAATATATTTTCCAAACGTGGTGAAATTGAGGCATTGTGAGCTCAGTGAGGATATTGTGGGAGTACATACCAGGGTCCACAAAACAAGGTTGAGAGGTCAGAAGATCAGCGTAAGCGGTGTAAAGGCGTATTCATTTTAGTTTGACAATTTCATTGAGGAGGCCGATGTAGCTGTTAATTCTATACGCTTCGAGATTAGCCTTACAACTGGGAAACATTAAACAGCACTCATTCCTTCCTTAATACTTAGTGTGAAAAAATAAACATGAGTAAGCCTAAATTACCTCTGCTCTCAACACCTTTTTATGTGCTTTTTGTGTGAGAATGTAATAACAATGGCACATCCAGAATGGCAATATGTAAAACAATTCATGACTACTACCTACTTTTTAATCTTTTTTTTAAAAACTTGTTTGCAAAAAGCTTACTACCTGAACTGCGGGAGCATTTGGAAGTGAATGAGTAACTTGAGTTTAACCCTCGGACCAGTTTTAGTCTGGATTCCCAGACATGGCCTAAAGGGGAAATACATGCAGTCAAGATGAATAGTACAGTTTGGAATTATTGAAATACTTTATCTATCTATCCATCCATCATAGACAAAAGAGTGATTCAGTCAATACTGATTATATCTTGAAATATATTCTGATAACTATATGTATATGTTATCAGATATATGTATATTATATTTAGCTTCAGAGACATAATGTTACATGACTTTAATTTGATTTGAAAAAACAACAAATGAACATGTTCCGTTATAGCCCTCTTAAGTCCACGTGAATGAGGCTGAATAAGGTCTGCTTCCTACATGTGCATACCACCGGAACATAGCGTCACCCCAAGACATAACGGGCTACTTACGGCATGCTTTCCTGGTCCGAACTGTTTGAATGTGGTAGAAAGGGAAATCGGCGGCACTACAGCCATTGATTTCCATTGCTCCGGTTCCTGGCCGACGTGAATAGCATCAGTGGCGAAGGATTTGTACGGCTCTCTAAAGCCGGCGAACAAATCGCTCTGCTCTTCTGGTTTGTGGTTTTGATCCATGGCAACGCGCTCCTCTCAATGTGTAAGCTACCACAGTGCAATGAGGCTGGTTAAGCATTGCCACTGTTCTTTACAGTCCTTACGTATATCGGGGAAACGTGGACGTGCACTGCTCGTCTCTGTGAGCCAATCAACGCCCATCAACAAGCGCAGGAAGGCTCTGATTGGTGGTTCGGCGGGGGCGTCCAACACACATGACGCAGAACGTTGTTTGCGTGCTTGTGTGTGCGCTGTAGTGATGCAACGTTTCCTGTTGCTTGAGTAAGAGGGGCAACCGGTGTCTTTTGTATTTAACTTTGTTTCAGATTTACTTAATTTATTATATAATTTATTTATAAGCTCAATATGGGTTTATTTGTATTTATTTGATGTCTGTTGGTGATGTTTTCAACAATTGACCGACCACTATGAAAAGAGTGTCCAAATTTAAATCGAGATTAAGAAGCTGTTTTTTTTACAAAACTAAAAGGAATCAACAACTTGTTAATTTCTCTCTAACCAACACGATAACATTTGTTGGTTAACATATACATTTAGTTATGTGCATGTCATGTGTGTCCTCATGGCACACATAACAGACCTTTAGCTGTGTTTCCATTCTTGAGCCATAGGGGGAGGAAGTGCTCTGTCCTGACTCAGTGGAGCACTGGAGGTCTGTTCTGTTTCAGCCTGCTGAAACCTGGGGGGCCTTCTCACTTCGGTTAAATGGATTCCTTGCGTCCCTCACTTGTGTCGTTTCCCTGCGACTAGTCCCTCCCACCAGGGAAGCATGGAGAGATGCAAGGAAACCACGAGAAGCAGGGAAATGAGTTTTAAGAGCAATGGGACGTCCTTTCCTCCGGAGCGTCACGTGAAGCGACGTCCGTTTGTGATGACGCTGCACAGCTGATCGTCTGACAGCAGCTCTGTCCCCGTTGTTTTCACAAACACCTCCGCCCCTGTTAGTACACATTTACTGATACAAACATTTGTATCATCTGTTGTAGACCCAAATACATTAAATAAAATAAGAACTAATTCTCAAAAAAGATAAACGCCATTCTTAAAATATAAACGAAAAAAGCGATCATGAAAATGTTTCCAATAAATGAAGAAAATGATTTTTGACCACTTTGTTGTTCAGATATATCACATATGTGTAACTAAATGATACATTAATTGAAACAAAACACGGTATATAAACTGAGGAGTGAGTCCCGTGAGGTTCATGTATTTTCTTCACTCCGCTGGGAAACTGCTCTTATGTCAAGAAGCATCAGATCAGTGCATGCACTGCCTCGTCCAATCAGTGAGCGATACACAGTAAGGGGGCGGGGCGAGTGTCTGCGGATATCATCGAAGGATGGTCTGGTGGTTCCTCGGTTATAGCTCCTCTATTATCGCTCCTCGCTCATCCCTCCTCGGTCCTCGGGCAAAAATAAGGCCATTGGGACGCTACTCAAGATGGCGCAGACAAATCAACTTCCGGTGAGACCGAGACCGAGGAGCGAGGAAATGAAAAATAAGAGAAGTGAGAAGGGCCCAATGAGTCCAAACTGCAGTGTGTACTTGAAAAGTACAACCAAGATAGAAACCAAGTAAGTTCACTCACTTAAATCATGCACAAGTGAGATAAGAACACTCATTGAATTGGGTTTAAAATGTTGAAATGTAGTAAATCTTAATGCCTTGATTTATTTTATTTAAATTGTTATGTGTTTTGTTTTTATGTCTACATCATTGTCTTGGCAAGAATGCTTTTGAAAAAAAATATTTTAATCTCAACTAGACTCTTTCTCTGCTTCCCGACAGGATCTGAAAGTGGAATATATCCTGAGTACTTTTTACTAATATTTTCTAAGCCTAAATCAAGACTTTGGACTTCTTTAGGCTATTACTAGGTTGACTTTCGGATGTTATTGGTGATTAAACGACTAACTTACATTGATAAGAGCAAGTGGAAAGACTTTAAATTAAATCATGAACATTTCAAATCGTTGCTTTAAGATATTGTTATCAATAGAGCAAACATATTGTATTGTATTTGTATTCTAACAAAGTGTGTGTGTGATATGCATTAAAATACAAAAAACGCTATACTTTTCACTGATGATATTGCAATTTCAAAGTGACTCAAACATGAATATTTTTTGCATCTTTATTATAATTTTGATTGAAAAATATATTAAAAATTATAATGATTATCATTATACAAATACAATATGTCAACTAAATAATAACCTGTCTTTATCTACATTTCTGATATGGTAATGTAGGGAAATTAGCATATAGACGAGAGTAACACCTAGGTCACTTCCGGGCCAAAAATTATATATATAAATATATATATATATATATATATACTCATATATATAATTATAATATATAATATATAATTACATAATATATAATTAGATAATAATTGATAATTAGATAATAATTATAGCCTAATATAATATAATAATCTCTACCTTCCTGTGTCTGATGAATTCCAACACAGATAAATATTGTCAGTAGTTTAGAGAATTAAAATAAAATAAAAAAAGCATTCTACTTACATATTAATAGTAAAACCAGAGAAACTGATAATTTTACAGTCGTCTCTTGTTTTTTTCCAGAGCTGTATTATTATTAGGTATAATCAGAGCCATATAATAGAATTATTAATTAATTCATAATTAATTATTTCTATATGGCGCTGGCGCTGGGTATAATAAGCTAGTGACCGTTGGTAACCTTTCCTGAACTCTCGCGATACTACGAGGCGGAAGACATTAGCCGAATCTTCGGTACTAGTCAACTGGAGGCGCTTATGTTTTGCAGCTACCAGCGTCAGTTTTGAACGATAGGAGGGGAGCGAAGTGTTTGTTTTTATAGTAAACCGGTCAACTTTAGCCTCTACTTGTCCGAGTAAACTATCGTTTTAGCCCGTCCGGTAGAGATTAAGTGTGTTTCATGTTGTGCAGTTTACTGTGCCTGAGTAAAGCCCTCCAACTGGCGGATCGCATCAGTTCGCCCGGAGGGTCACCGTGAGCTCCGTGCCCTGTGTAGAAAATGACCGGAGAGAAGATCCGTTCCTTGCGCAAGGACCACAGGCCGAGCAAGGACGAGGATTTACTGGAACCGGACGAAGAGGCTGCAACCGGGACGTTCACCGCCTCCAAGACGAACAACAAGAGCAGAGCGAGTAAAATCTTCAGCAATCACAAGTTAGTCAAGTCTTCATCCACACAGCAGCAGCAGCACCTACAGTCGCAGGTTAACGCTAACACCAACACACTGTCAACATCCGATGTCATCGATGACAACAACAAGAACCCCATCATCCGAACGGGGCAGGACTTCCCGGTGCATGAGTGTGTGTTTAAAGGAGATGTCCGCCGCCTGTCTTCACTCATACGGACACAGAATATCGCCCAGAAAGACGTCCATGGTGAGTCTACCAGCTGCCTATCCCTCAGCCCTAAAACACGATCCCCCAATTGTAAGGTCCAGTGAAGCGTATGTTTAGTTCGCTAATAGGCCATCAGTCCTTAGCAGTACCAAATAGGCGAGGCTTTTCCATACCAAGGCCAAAAGGAATATTTTGATTCCTCCACTTTTTGTTTCCTCCAGCCCAATGCCCACAAGTCTACAGAGTAGAAACGTGTGTAAGAATGATTGTTTGCTCTCCTCCCACCTAAATCACTGATATTCCTTAGTAACTACAGCTAGCCACAAAAGTCTCTCAGATTTAACGTATTTGGTTAATTGTTTATGTGAAAGTTGGACCAACTTTCACATAAGCATTTAACCAAATACGTTAATACAAAATGGCTATGGACCATAGCCATTTTGTTTATTTAGAGATTGTTTGCAAGACTTTTCCCAGACTGATAGTACCTCTTCTGCAGGACAAAGTCTGCTCAGATAACGCCACACTTTCCAGAGAAACCATCCCTGAACTAACAAAGGGACGAGATTGTTTAGTTCCGGTTCATGTCCAGAGATAAAGGATGGCCTGTAGGCAGCTTGTGCTCAGTGTCATGGTGGAATGTGCTCTGTCTTCAATTCAAAGCTTTGATGTGGAGCACCACAACAAGGTGTCAAACAGTTCGCCCAAGCGTGCTTTTGGAACTTGAGCCTTTTGTTGAGGGTTGATATGATTCAGTAGCAGCAGTTTGTGTGCATACGTGCCCATTAGTTTAGCCTCCACAGGATACAGGCTAAAGCATGCCCATCACACAAGGACAGTTTTATTAAAGATTTCATTATTCACATTATTAGCCACACAAATAGCAAGTTTAATCTATGTTTAATTGTCAATTCATCCACATCACAAAAACATTTACTTACTGAACCTGCACTTGTACTTTGTATGCTCAGGTGTTCTGAGATGTCCAGTGTAATAGGCTGTAACTAACATTTTATTACTTTTTCCAAAATATAGTGCCAGTCATGACAGCACCATCTGAATTGTATCTAGATTAACCAGCATATGGATTCTTGGAAGACACATTTGCTAGTACAAATGTAATTGAATTCACCGGCTCCATACTGTTTATTACAACATTATCCGGTGGGACTGCTAGCTGATCCCTAGGTTGTATTTTTACACACATCAGGGCTCTTACCGTCAGGCCCTGATGCTTTCTCACCACTTTCTCCTGGAAGAGAGAAGCCTGGAGGAGCTGAGCGGGCAGTTTGGCTTCCTCATAAGGGATTCTCCAACGCTTATGAGGCACATTTCAGATAACAGGGAAAACATCTGGGCTTTTCCACACCTCACTCAAATGCATTTGTATTGTGCAACCAGTAGCATTTAGTGACTTTATTTATTTTAACAAGCCATGTCCCTGACTGTTAAATGCATCATATTTCAAGGGTATGGCCGGTTAATGGACTATACTATTGCTTGTCATGGTGGGAGAACACACAATAGGCATACACGTACCATGTCATTTGGAAGTTAGTGGATTCTGCCTCCTAATTTAAACATCTAATCCAGGCTGACTCTGACTAGAGGCACAGGGTTTATCACTGAAACTCGTCTCTTATTGTTATTATCAAAGCAGACAAAAAAAACATCTTTTTTTTTCTTCTTCAGGAAACACACCGTTGCATCTTGCCGTCATGATGGGGCACAAAGGTGAGTAATGCTTAAAGATGCACCACCATATGGTTTATTCGTGTTTGTCTCTGGCGTTCTAATTTGGTCGCTCTGCAGGTCTGTGTGTCGTCTTGTTTTTGTTTCTGTGTATTTGTGTGTTTCAGTTTGTTTGCCCTGCTTTGTGTGTGCATTTGTCTGACTAATCACCACCAGACATTTCTCACAGATCAACACAAATAATCCCAGATGGCAAGATGCTCATGGATGTATACAAAGATTGTGTCAAAAACAGAATTGAACAACAAATATTACATTTCATACATTTATAGAGAAATAACCTATAAGTGGGATTAGATAATGATGACAGCAAGAAATCTGATCCTCTCAGTGGCTAAAGTCTCTTGTTCTGATTGATGTGCCACCACTGGCTCAAAGACTAATAGTTTGAGGCTGGCAAAGGTGGTAATTAGTTTACATAGGAGGTGTCATTTTCAACTTCCATATTATTTGCCCTCCTTAATACTTTGATGCTATCTTCTGTGCATCAGACGTTACTTAGTTATTATCATAGTTTCTAGTTGATTTTATATCAGTTGTGAAAAATATGTCACAAAAGGTGTTTACCTCAGATGTCTCAGCTCTGTGCATTTTCCCAAAAGGAAATAAAAGTGGTTTATTAATGTAACACGTCCTAGAAGAAAAATCAGTTTTGTGTATAAGATGAATATGTCACGATGTATCAAGGCCTTGTAGAAGTGTTTACCTGATTATTTTCTTAGCTGAATTGGCTGGACTGAAAGCATGTGCTTAAAATATTAATGCATTTCAAGGAGACTTCCGAACATGCTATTGAAAAATTAATCCCCCCCTCTTCTGCAGCAGGTTCTCAGGGAACATTTCAAGCATAGGGTTACTCGTAGTTCATGTTCCCAATTGTTTCATGTCTGTCATTGTAGCAAGGGTTTCAAATGATTTCGCATTCGGAAATGTCAATCCTGTGGACAGAGTGAAGTCCCTGTCTCTGCCTATCGGTAATCCAGACAGTGGATTGCCAAAGTGTAGTGGCGGATGGGAGGCCATGGATTTGATTTAGCTAATGAGGTTGCCTATCTCTTGCCTGAGCTGCTAGCCTATCCTCTAGGGATGCTCAGACCAGACAGGCTGAAGGCAACAGCATGAGATCATAGTCTGGGTGTGGCTGGTCTGTTGGGATGGACAGGACACAGCTCTCTTTGTGTATGCTGTGTGTTTATTATTCACCAGACTGCAAATGACAGAAGTGCAAAGACTCTTACATTTGACATTTTCCTATTGCACAGCTTGTTAGGTAAATAAAAAAAACTGAGCATAATACATTTAGTTGGCATGATTCTGTCATTGGTAACTGAAACAACAATGAGAAGTGTGCACATGTACTTTATTTCGTATAATATACTACAGAATCTTCATCAACTCTCTCTCATAATTGATAACTAAACATTTAGAACAATAAGGTGGCTACAAAATTGTAGCCACACTAAAAAACTGAAGAAAGAAACTTAGAGTACTCGAAACATATTTCTTTAATATGACTCAACTGTCAGAATAATACGATTAACACAGCTTCCTCCTGTTTCCTGTTTGGTGCCATCAAAGGACAGAATCTGTTTTCCTTTTGTCCCGAGGTTGTACTATATGTTTGCAGGGCCACACAGATAACATCTCTAGATATTTGAAATGTGTTTCAAAGACACACGATAACAACCTAGTGAGTGTTTGGAGCCAAATTGCTAGTCTGGCAGGGTTAGTCTTCCTCTGAATTGGCACTTAGTAACATTTTATCGGGTCATCACTTAAAAAAAGAGCAGCCTGTTGAATCAAGAGAGGATATTAGAGGCTCATTTACACTCGTTTTACTTCTGGGAAAACCAACAACATTGGTGATGTTATACAGTGTCACTTTTTTCTTTAGAGCCTGCAGCAATGTGATTCTTCAACTGCTGTTTTATGCGCTCTATAAGTGTGTGATCGATGCCGAGGTGGGCAGAAAAGCTATTTTATAAATGTACTCAGCCTGGACAAGAATGGGTGGTGATGGTGGGGGCTGTAAAAGCCCACAGAGCCTCTTGACAAGTGCCCAATCTGTAGCCACCGCACGTAGTGAAGCATTAGATTAGCACTTTATTTCTCCATCCTGCTCTGCCTCCCTCATTTCTCTGTTAGAGTTCTTTGTGAATCGAGCCGGACTTCCACCCAACTGCTGCACATTCAATCAACCCAGTAACCCACAGGGAGGCTTCCCTTATCAATACCTCATGACTGGGTATTGAGTCAGACAGAAACCCATTGCTTTGAGTTATAGGCTGCATGTTAATGTATCAAGGCAGCTCTTTCGATTCCATTCAGATGAATGAACTGCTGTTTGATTAGTATTTCCCAACTTCCTACCATAACAAATAAAACCAACTCAAAAGAACCACATTTACGTAATATTATGTCATAACTGTATTGTATGATGCTGAGAGCAGAATATAGAAATGTTCAACAGATGACTTCAAAACATGTTTTTGCAATCAAATCGTTGTTTGTTCTCCTGCTCATTTCAGAATGTGACAGATGACTAAAGAGGCTTGCTTGTGTTGTTGGATCAATTGATCAAGAATGATTGTGATTGGTTGCATGAAGGACCCGAAACCACTCCGAATGATTTGTTATCAGACTGACTTCTCTTGTAAATCAGTCAAATTAGAACTGTGCAAGTTGTCCTTTTGCATCAAGTCCTGCTATGCTACTATAGCGTATGCACACAATGCTGAAATCATATATCGTACAGCCCTAACTCCAGTTGAGATATATTTGGCTATATTAGTTAATCCTCAAAGCCAAAGAGTCCACTGCTTGTACCTGAAAGCATGACGCGAGAACAGAAGCTAGCAGGTCAGCAGCTTAGGACACATTACACTTACATAATGTATATCTGCCAGTCGTTATTATTGCACAATCATTGGTTTTAGCAGGGTGATATATCGGTGAAAGGCCAGAGGGAGTGCTGGCCTACGTCAGAATGCAAACGCTTGTGCACTCTGCTGCCTGTCTTTTCCCGACATCAACTTCTGTTATCAGCTGTTCCTAAACCGAGCACGGACCAGACGAATGCATAAACACATAGGTCTGCTTTTCTGTTTGCTGATGTAAAGCTCTTTGTGAGGCACTTTGCAGTTACATCAACCCTTTCCAGTGCTAACTCGGCTTCTTTTTTACTAAAGCCCGCCATATAGTTGATATTAGTCAATCTTTCTAAAGTGCTGAGACCTGGAAAGAGTTCAACGTGCAGATTTTGTGAAGCAGAATTAGACAGAAGTTGATAAGACAACAGATTCCGACTCGTCATAAGCCAAGTCTTTGAGCCTGAGCTGCTCTCCTGGTACGAACACAATAACTTCCCATTGGCCTGTCTTTGTTCGTTTAGATGTTCTTTGCCATGCTCGCACATGGAAGCAAGCTGCACATTAGAGCTATGGTGTTGCTGATAATTGCTTCATTAAAGAATATAGACTTAAGTGCTTTGGGGCCTGTCACAACACGCCTTTTTATTTTCATGTAAATGCACTTGTGGGATTGCCACACTCCTCTTGTCTTATGTTGTGTGGAGAATGTGTTTAATTAGGAGCGTTTCAAAATCTATTCTTCCCTGTCATAAAGAATGCATGAGACCCTGGCCTCTTTTCATTAATTAAACATTGTGAGTATGTAGCTCAGAGTGTGATCTGGTATTTTAGAATGTTATGTGTTGCGCTCTCTTTTCAAAAGGTAGACGATTTTCAGTTGTAGTCTTGGCCACCCAATTGGCACTGTACGCCACTACGTCGGCTTTCGTGCTAATGTGAAGCAGAGATACAAGTCTGAACATGAAGGAAGTTACCAGTTTGAATTTGTTTGCATGACTAATATGAGTGATTCAAAGGATTGAAATGAAAGAAGGGCTGTATTGAGAGTTTCTGCATCAAGTTCCTGCCCTATCGAGAGCGAGTCCATATCCACTCAGCAGCAGACTGTAGTATTCAGCCCCTGCTTTGCATTTCACTGGTTTGCTGCTCACAGGCCTGTGACTGTGACAGCTCTTGCCCAGCGCTGAGACAGAGCCACACAGACGCCAACACTATAATGAATGATGTCACGACAAAAATGACGGCAGAGCCGGAACAACAGGCTTTGGTTTTTGGCTTGCTGCAGTTTGTTGACAGGCTGCCCAGAGAGAGAAGGGATTTTGCACTTACTGCTGATCTCGCTATGGAGAGAGGGATGAGGCTCTTTGGCTGTTTTCCCATTGTTGGAATTCAGGCACAGCTCTGAGGGTGACTCTGCACAGTGCCAGGGGAAGTTTGACATTTGATTCCTGAGAATAATTCCTCATTTTACAGCAGATTCTAAAGAGGGATGTTCAGTCTTGTGTAACTGTAGTTCCCATATGGCTCTCTGGTTAATGGGTCAGCTGACATCTCAATCCTACACACAATCTGCCCTTCTATCAAAGCAGGATGATTTATGCTACAGAAAATGTGTATCACAAAGATGTGAACATGCAGTCAGGCAACATTTTCAACTCATATATACTGCAAAGTGATACAGGTGTGATCAGATCAAATGGAAGCATGTGATCAGGAACAGGGAACACACAAAGAAAGATTTAAGCCTTAAAATAGAGTTGATTTCGTTTTCTCGGCTGGTTTGTCTTAAGATTCGAGCTGGACTCAATATTAGAGCACAGTGTTAATAATAATAATGCATTTTATATATATAGCGCTTTTCACAACTCAAAGACGCTTTACAGTATGAGGGAGGGTAGACAAACAAGGACAGGCAAACAAGTAAGTAAAAAATAAAAAGGCAGTCAAGAGTGTTGAGGCGGAGTTAAAATGAGTTGCTTGGGCTCTGATTATGAATTAAATGTGTCACCATAGCAACATTATAGGTGACGAAGAGATGCAACTAATAGGAAATGAGGAGTGTTTGGGCAGTTTCAAATTAGACTTATTCTCACCGTACCATTTTTGTTTTGAAATATACTTGCCCTGTGCAACAATCACGACCACCAATATTTAAGTACCGAGTGCCAAAGTCCAAATGTAATTAATTAAAATGACCTTTAACCTACCCTGTTTTTCACTGATAATGCTACAGAAACAACAAATCCATGCCGGAGCACGGTTTAATTGAGTTCCATTATGATTCAGTAGAAATCGGTATAGGCAAGGGTGAAGGTAAATTACAATATTATCGTGATGTGTTCAAATGTAATCATATTTACGGGTGACTGTGGCTGCGAGAGAGTGCGGTCGTCGTCTTTCAACCAGAAGGTTGTGGGTTTGATTCCGGTCCTTGCAGTTAACATGTCGATGTATCATTGGGCAAGATACTTAACATTGAGTTGCTCCCGATGGCATGGCCAACAGTGTGAATGTGTGTGAATGTTATCTTCCATAGAGCAAGTGGCACTGCCCTGCATGAATGAGGTGTGAACGACTCGTAGTATGTAAAGCGTTTTGAGGGGTTTAAGACACCTGATAAAGCGCTATATAAGTACAGTCCATTTACCATTTATACAATTCTTTTAATTTATTTTTTCTAAGCAAATGTTTGTTTTATAAATAGTTTTTTTACTGTGATAATAAATTGGGTACCTACAATCATGTAATTCCACTGTTATGTTCTGGTATTGGGACATCCCTACACTACACCTTTTCTTTCTGCTATCTCTTAACGTTTTGTATTCCTGCATTGTGGGTGAGTAGCACTAAGACCGAAAAAACGAATGAGGAAAGTCATTATAGCGTTCTTTCTTAAGTTTTGCATAATATCAAACCTTTTTCTTCTGTCCTATTTGAATCTCTGTGTTTTTCTGTCTCTAGTTAAAAGGAAAAGCAATTTCCTGGTACCTGTGAGACACCGTTTATAATTAGGTTCAGAGTCTTGTTTTGCTTTCATTGGGGCTGGATTTTTCACTGGGGAGGAATCTCTTTATACTTTTATCACCTCTCTTTTTATTGCCTTAGGCTTATATGATGGTTCCATTGCTTCCTTTCAAGCAGAAAGCAGCATTCAAAAATCAAACTGCTAGTCAAATAAGGTTCACCACTAAGGCTACGTCTCTTGGCTGAACCCCCTTTTAAAGCTTCCTCGCTGTGGGTATAAATTAATTCTGTTAACCTTGTTCTCGCTCTTGCATTTATAGTGAGAATTGTAATCATTCAAACTAAACTTTTTGACTTTAAAGTGCTTCATTTTCATGTTTAATACACAAGCTCTGTTTATACAAAAGAAACATACCTTTGAGAGGTCTCAGTTCACCTGCTGGGTAACCTCGTTCTAGGATGGTTTAAATGCAGAGGACAAACTCCACTTTGTTTGCTGTGTTGTTTACATGCAAATATGGGTGACAAATTAACATAGTTTTATTTCCAATCCTTTAATTCCATGTAAAGATATCTCTCTTTTCTCCCTTGTGTTTTTTTTTTCTGCTGGTCTTTTTCATATTGTATGTTTGTGTCTGTCCTGTGACACCTTTAGTAAAAGCAATCAATAAAATAAGTTGTGATTTGAGTAAATACTTACCTATCTGAACCTCTGTCCTTTTTACAGAGTGTGCCCACCTACTGCTGGCCCACAATGCACCAGTGAAGGTGAAGAACGCTCAGGGGTGGAGTCCCCTTGCCGAGGCCATCAGCTACGGAGATCGACAAATGAGTAAGTATCTGTGACTGTGAAACCCCCCCCACTGCTGCTACCAACGGAGATGGACTTATTTACTGAAAACTCTGTGGCTTCAGTTGGGTTTCAGTTTGAGTTTGTAGGTGTGAAAACAGTGATGGGTGTGAGGAAAAGATCCGATCATCATTTTTCTTCTTCCACACCGCTGCTTCCAAGCGAGGCCACGACACAGGCCGGCCTCTTTTGTCCCTCAGCGAGAGGGGGGTGGGACATTCCTCAAGGCCCCGTGGCTTTGTGCTCCAATGAAAAGGCGATTCATTAGATGTTTCTCTCTCTCATCATAGGCTGATCATGCTCAAGCCCCTTTCACGCCCATTTTCCAAAATTGTATTAATATTTTTCTCAGAATCATTTTTATTTCAAATTATTATATCTACTTTTATTTGAGACTATGGGCTTGTACAAAAACGTTACTGACATGTAAGTGAAAGCACATATGTTTATAGGTACAGGGTGTTAAATGGGAACACCTTTGTACACTGGCAGTTTATTTTTAACACATTGAATGAAGAACTTCTGCTTAGGAAGTTTTTGATCTGCTTTTTGCAATGCTCTGATCCACAGGGTGAACTTCCTCTGTTAGCTTTACAAAAAAAGCTATTCTGGAAGTGATTCCCAAAATATGCTTTGAATGCAAACCACCGATCACAACATTATCCCCATTTTTGTACCAGATCTTTTCGACTGTATATGTATTTTATACCTCTATGCCTACTTATATTATGATAAGTGCATTCTTTCCATTGTCTATTTAAAGCTCTTGTTATTTTGGCCATTGGAACAGGAAGGCCTGAGGTTTCTTTCTGTGTGACGGAGCTCTATAGCAGTGGTGAAAAAGAAAGAATTTGACAAACTGAACTACAACAATATTGCTACCAAACTTCAGCCATCAAAGATGTTGAAGGGCCTGTGCTGTAAACAGATATTGGCATATTACATAAATAAATAGAATAAAGCAAAATAGAAGAATAAAACAGTTCTTCAGAAAAAAGAATCAATAAAGTCAGTCAATAGAGTATTTCTATTGTCGAAGCAATATTACATTTTCAACACGGCTACAGTAGCAGCTAATAGGTAAAATATTGTGGAATGTACTCAAAACAATTGAAGTGTCAGTCAATCAGAGTGAAATAGTTGCGGCCTATTAGTACAGCCGCTTGGTGCCAACAATAAGCCGCTTAAACTGTCTCCATTCACTGCACTGTTTAACTCTATAATGCCACTTACCTTACCAGATTAACACCTGTCTATGGTCTGAAGCCTGCAGTGAACTCTGCTACACATTTTTAATATAGGGTTGACAGGTCGTCAAGAGACTCCTTCATGACAAACTTTCTATGATTCTGGGAACTACAGAAAATCTCTTAGTGTTATGAAGATATGAAGGTAAAGCCGGGTGAAGTGAAGCGGTTGTACTATAAAAGATACACAGCTTTTCATACCAAAAAACCAAAGCAGTGTAGTGGTTTGTGATTTTAAGAATATAAGAGTGTCTAAGGTTTTTATTTTTTTAAAGAATCATAGAATTTCTTTGTCACCTCTGCCAATAACTTTTTGGGATTGTGTTTGCTATTTGTCTTCTGTTTGAAGGATTATGGTAAGATTTGCAGATGTGCATGAAACTAAGTAGAAGGTTAGAGCATTATCCTAGAAAAAAAAATGGGGGGAACATGCAATATATTTACACTAATGGCCCAGGTGAAGGTGTGCACCCTCTAAGTGCCCATAATAATAATTCTCAAGTCAAAACTTTTTTCAAGGCTTACAAACACAGGGTTTTCATTATTTGATTTGAAAAAAGTAAACATTGTACTTGTATTTTGGATAACCCCTCATTATCTTGCTAAAAATGGACTTCCATATTTCATCACGCCCTACGCAGCCCTCTGCATTGTTTTTAAAAAGAGGGCCGCCTTCGGTCTAAATGCCCCCCAAATGCTCTCTTTTCTTTGTCATAGTAGCTTTGGTTGTGGACACCATATGGCAAGTGTACACTAGGAGAGAAGCCTAACTAAGAGTGATACAAAAATCCTGTTTGTTGAAAAGAATGTTTCCCTATGACTATACCTGCCTCTCCTGGATGCAGGCCAGTGAGAGGAGTTTGTGGTCTGGATCAGAGAAAGAGATCAGTAGACAGGTACAGGAGAAACCTGCTGGCAGACAGGTACAGTAGGTCAGTCTGTTCATCAGACAAGAGTAACGGCAGCTTCTGTTGCACTGGAGCCAAAACGGTGCCACTGAGAAGGGCTGTTGTTGTTGTGTTCCTCGCTCCAACGTACAGGGCGGGGCCTCTGTTGTGACAGCTCAGCTCCAAACAGCTGAGTCTGCACACTCACATACAGTTTCACCTGGCTGCCACAATGACAGGAAAGGTCAATAGTGCAGAAACTGTGGATGTGACCCATTTTCGGCGCAATAAATGTTGATTCCTTTATTGGCCTTGCCCAGCCTTTATTCATTTTTATATATACAGTCACTGGTGATTCAGTAAGAGCTGAGTCAGTCCAGAGTCTGTAAGGGAAGTGGAGTCTCTGTTAGATTTACTGTAGTTTCTGATTCAATCCATTTCTTACCTCAGCTTTTGTTACTTACAGCTTTATCATCCGAACAAGGAGGCAAAATGTGTCTCAGAAATAGTTTTTTGTCATGTGTTTTGTTTGATAGGAGCTATATCTGTCCTGCTCACCCAGCAGTGTTGTCGGCTGCTGGATCTTGTTGAAAGGCTGCCACAGTCATGTTTGGGTTTATTAGACGGCTTGCTTTCATTGTTCCTTGCCTTATTAAAAGAAGATTGTGGCAACAATTAATGCTTGTCTTTTTATTATTACTGCGTTTTGGGATCAAATAAACAAATGTCTCTGATTGATTTTGGTTGAGCTTGGTTATTTTTTGAGGTCATGGTAAATCATCAGTATGTACTTAAAGGACTTCAGAGACAAGGGGAAGGTATGGTTGTGATATAATTTTCTGATTTAATCTTTTTATATATTTTTATTTGTACCATGAAAATTCCTGCAAAGAAAAACGCCAAATAAATGTTTTTCATTGATATCTAATCACTTTTTAAAGACAATTTGAAATAATGTAAACATGCTGCTGTAGTTATGGACCTACAGTCAAATACTGTAGGGTTTAGGCACTTTTAAAACGCAATAAAAATCTATGGCAAAACAATATAAAAACTCAATATTAAAGCTCCAGCTCACCCTGCTGAGACTTAGAGAGGATATTCCTTCCTCCCCACTACATTTTAAGTAGCTTATTAACTCTAATCAAAGATTAAAAGCTCTCTATCCGGCATGTGGTGTGTGATATCCAGTAAATGTAGCAGTTTTAAGTATTTTTAGACGTCTTGTAAAGTTAATTGACCATACCTCAGTAAGTTAAATAAAATATTTGAAACTAAATTAAGATGAACCCATTTGCCTGCTTTGCTCCCCCACACACAGTGACTGCCATCCGGAGTCAATATTGACTGTTCTCAGGTCGTTGGAGACCAGCCAGCAGCAGTTGTCCAGCTAGATCCCGGCCTAATTGTTAAATAGTAGCAGTTTGTGGTGATGTAAATACAAAATGGAGCTGACTGTCTCTTGTCATTAGTGTGGAGGTAAAATCACTGAGATCACTCATCTAATTAATGCCAGGGAAGTGCCCTCATCAGTATCTGGGTGAAGTATCTCCAGCATGGAGAGTCAGTCTGGTTTAGTGTTAAAGCGGGCAGCATTTGTTTCTGGGCTGTGTTGGCTGGGTGGTTTGTGAGCAGATGGTGAGATTGTATCTTTTTCCTCGTCCCGCTGAGAGGCGGCGAGGATCAGGAGGAGCCCCGTCCGGAGCTTGTCCACACTCATTAGGCAGCCCAGCCAAAAAGAGACACTCTCGTCCTTCACTCGTGTCTGTGTCAACTGGGGCTTGTGTGTGTGTGTGTGCAGTTGTGTGCCTGTGCTCTCATTTGGCCTTGTTTAATCATCGAGCCCTCCGCCCCCTCTCGTTGGGAGCATCAATAAGACAATATGCACGACATGTTTCTGTATGTTTTCTCTCCACATGTAGCAGTAACGTTTAATTGCTAATGGCTAATGAGTATGCCTTATTCCCACTATTTAAATATAGAGAAGTCCAGGTGTCAGAAGCCAATTTTTATTCTCCCATTTCCATTAGTTAATAAATCATGTAGTAATTTAATTACATCTGTGAGAAACTGTTACTCCAACCCCCTTATAAACAGTAAATAACATTTAAAGAATGCTTGCTACTACTAGCTGGGTGTGGATTTATTTTTTTCTACCGTTTTTTCTTTTTCCTTCTGCAGCCATCGGGCTTAAAAGCTGTGAGTGCTTGTTAATCTGCCCCGTCAGGGTAAAGGTCTCCTGCGAGGGTCTCTCCCCGGGTCGTTAAGGAGGTTACAGACGCAGCTCATTAGCAGGAAGCTCCACATCTCCCAGGCTGGCTCCCTTTGAACTTCCTGGAAATGTTTGATCCCTGCAGGCGGTGTGCAGGGATTGGCCTGGGGCTGCTGGGAGTTTCCTCTCTGGCGCCTAGAAGTCAGCGTAACCTTGAGCTGAAAGCTATCGTTACTGTTTACTATGTGATGTTTGCCTTAGCATGTCACATTGCTGACAGGATTTGCCAAGGGAGTCAGTTGTTAGGATAATAGTGGTGACTCGTAGTACGTTCACACAGGCATAAGATTAAGCCTTAACCTTCACAGAGACCCGCCGCTCCCCACCGCCATGTTGGAGGGGATAATAACTTTCCTGTACAGTGCTTCATTTAGGCAGGATTCGTTTTGGCATATTACAAATGAGTCTTAAAAAATTCACAATTTTCCTCAGCCAACTTATCATGATTAAGTAAAAGCTGGCTTCCATGCCGTGTAGAGAAAGATGCTTCCTGTTTGCCAAAACAAGAGCAACTTGGTAAAGAAATTAGTTTGAAAATGGGGAATAAATCATCTTAAAGCAAGTTAAGTGGCGGGATCAGATTCTGTAAAAGCAACATGTTATTCTTTAAAAAATCAGTTAGACGTTATTGAAACATTTGTATTTCTTCTGTACACATAATTTCCCCTTTGGAAAAAGCTCTAACTATTGTGTGTTTTTACACAGCAAAAATCAGTTTTGTTCTCACTCATGGTTCTCTTTTGTCTTTATTTGTTGTCTTGCAGTCACAGCGTTGCTGAGGAAGCTGAAGCAACAGTCCAGGGAGACAGTGGAGGACAAGAGGCCCAAGCTGCTCAAAGCCCTGAAAGAAGTGAGTCTGGATGCTGTGTCTTTTTTTTCGGCTCATCGGAGCTTCTTACTTTTCACGCCCCTATCATCTTTTTGTAGATAGAGTCAGTGGTGTTAAAAGTTAAATGAAAGCTCAGGGATTTTGTGGCTGCTTGGTGTGCCGTCACATGAACACTTACACACACTGTAAACATTTTACTACCAACCGACAGACCATTTTCATGTGTCTCTGTGTCTCACTTACATACGCATACTGTAAACATTTAGTCATGTACAGACCAGGGTGGGATTTTCACGGCAGCCATGGCCGTCGTAGCCCCTCGGTCTGGCCGTTATGCCCCACAAATAATTGTACGTCCTACGGCCACCATGGCCTTTGGGCCCCTCGCATTGTTAAAAGTTGCTTTAAAAGCGTCAGAACAGTGGTTTCTGAACTGCATTATGCTGCGTTCACAACGGACGCGATGCGAATACTCGCATTGCTATAACCGCTGGAGTTTCACTGCGGCTGTCAGCTGTGTTTACTCCTGTCATTCAAACAGGACGCGCTGGAGAGGGGGCGGGGCTTATCTCCATGTAAATACTGTGGTGGAAACCAACTACGACCAAATTAACCTATTTCATTGTAATACACGTTTCAAAATGATGCCAAAGTAACTAAATACTGATAACGATTAGTAAAAACCATGCTTTAATGCTTTGACAAGTGTGCAGACAAGACGGCATGCGAAAAACCTTTTAAAATGCCTCAGAATGTGTGTAAAACTGACATCCACATAGGGTACACAACGGTACTACTATTTTTATCGATAGCGCTTATGCTTATGCTCCAGGTTCAGTACCAACCACATCATAAAGTACGCGGACGATACAACAGTGGTGGGACTCATCAGGGACAACAACGAACAGGCCTACAGGGAGGAGGTGAAACATCTGACAGACTGGTGTAACACCAACAACCTGATCATGAATGTCGATAAAACAAAAGAGATCATTGTCGACTTCAGGAACAAAAAGCACCGTCACCCACCACTCCACATCAACGGCACAGCAGTGAAGACTACAGACAGCACCAAGTTCCTGGGGGTGCATATCACAAGCAGTCTGACCTGGTCCACTCACACTACATCACTATTTAAGAAGGCACAGCAGCGCCTACACTTCCTGCACAGCTCCCCCCTCCCATCCTCACCACGTTCTACAGAGGAACCATAGAGAGCGTGCTGACCAGCGGCATCTCCATCTGGTCGAGAGACTGCAACGCCAAAGACTGGAAGTCTCTGCAGAGAGTGGTCAGGACAGCAGAGAAGATCATCGGAGTTTCTCTCCCTCCCATCAGAGACTCAGAAACGCTGCCTGACAAAAGCCCAGAACATTTTGAAAGACCCCACTCATCCTCACCATGCTCTGTTCTCCCTGCTGCACTCCGGCAAGAGGTTCTGCTGCATTAAGAGCAAAACAGCCAGATTCTGCAATAGCTTTTTCCCCATGCCATCAGACTGCTGAACAGCAAGTAGACCAGTAACATAAAGATTACATTACGCTGTGTAAAGAGCACATATTTGTTATATAGTATGTCTATTTTATTTATATGTATAGTAAGTCTTTATATTTTAAACGCACACTTTATCTTTAATTTTATCAGCACCACGTCACTATTATTTATTTATATGTACAATCTTAGCAAGTTTTTATATTGTCCTGTTCCTGTAAGCCAGTACAACGAAATGTCGTCTTAATAGTACACTCTGTGTCTTGTTGAAATGACAATAAAGTATGTCTATGTCTTATCAATCCGGTCCTTTAACATTACTTTTATTGGTTCTTTTGGAGAAAAAAATAAGGTAAACTAACTAAACAAATTGTCAACAAAACTAACATTGCTTTTTATTTAAATTAAATACATGATATTTCACATCAAAAGAAACAACAATGTTTTAACAAATCGTATTAAATAATGTGATGACAGAATTGTAAACAGAATAGCTGAAACTTTAACAAAATAAATAAATCAGTTACCTCTAATCATTAACCCATGTTTGTATAATGTGGTTAACTCGGTGTGTTGCTGCTAGCATACATAACACCTGACGTGGAAACGTTACTCGTGGATGGGGCTACAGAGCTACTTGAAAGACAGTCGAACCCGGTGCATTCCTCCGTCTGAATGTGGAGCACTTTTGCTAAATGTTTAGACAAATTGCTCGTGTTACCGCCCTTACATGCTAAACGCTTATTCCACTTTTGGTAACGAGTATTGTCCACATCGAGACGGCTATAGTTTAACCACACCTCGGAGCGCGTTCTCTCCGCCATCTCCTCCGTGTGTGTGTGTGTGTGTGTGTGTGTGTGTGTGTGTGTGTGTGTGTGTGTGTGTGTGTGTGTGTGTGTGTGTGTGTGTGTGTGTGTTGCTGTATGTAGCAGCTGCGTGTGTGTAAACTTCCCCGCCCCCTCGCACACAGACGGGGGAGAGACCTCTTAAACGGAGTTGGCGACACTTAAACTGCAATGTAATGTTTGTGTAGCAATAATACATACAACCAGGGGCGGCGGGTGCTGTAGGCTAGGGAAGGCTAAGCCTTCCCAAATATTTGTGTCACTGCATCCTGGTACAATACAAATATAATGTATAATGTCTGTGTCTTTGACATTAGCGCTGCTAGCCACCTGTGCCCTGTACTACGAATCTAGTTCAACAGACCCTGGATATGTTTGAGTAGCAAACTAACTAACAACAACAAACTAACAAACGAGATCTCGCTAAGCGGTCGACGCTGGTTATCAACTCGATAAATCAAGCCAGGGTTTCTCTCTCCAGCTGAGAGCGCGTTCACGGGGGCGGGGTTAGCTACATTTGACCAATCACAAACAGGGACAAGTGTACTGACAGCGCAGCGTCATACTTCATTAATGAAAAGTAAAGTAATATTAGACAAATATGAGCTTTAAACATCCATGATGATTTAAACATATAATCCAGGATAGAAGCCACAGAGTTGCTGCAAGGTGAATACAGAACAACTGGTTAAAAAATAACTAGGCCTACCGAGTGTTTGAAAGCGTATACTTTTCTGATATCACGGCCCCATCTAAGACACGAGTGGATCTGACTTTAATTACATTTGACTCGAGTGTTTCGTCAACATAATGTGTTGCTTAAAATAATACTTCTGCTGCATACAGTATGTGACACTGTAAGTGTTGCACGGCCAGATACGGCTGGCTGGAGAAGCTGACTCAGATAAGGAAATATATGATATTATATGATCGATGATCTGATTGATGATGTAATATGAATGATAAGTGCGACACGTCGGCGTCTTCTCTGCATACGGCAGTTTTAACTGTATTTCCTTTATCCTGTAATATGACTTGAGGGATTTAAACTCCGCACACTGAGTTGATGTATTTTCTATAGACGCCGCATCAGGTAAAAAAAAGTTATTTAGCCTTCCCAAACCTGAGCCTCACGCGCCGCCTATGCATACAACATATATCGGGGGCACAGGTTGTTTATCCTTGACAGTCGCACAGTGGGCACACACTGAGTGTTTTCATATTCAGCAAATGTGTACACGCTAAACTGCAGACCTCAAGAAGAAATAATACTTTCATTCACTCACGGCAAAAGTTACTTTACTTACTATAAAAACTCACGGTAAAAAAACGCACTCCCTATTCCATTGTCATGAAGGTGGAATCTAACTATATCCAGAATAAGTTTTATTGGATCCAGGCTAGAAACATGTTTATTTCTGCTGTAAAGTTGGGCATTTTAACATGGGGGTCTATGGGAATTGCTCCTTTTTGCATCCATCCCCTGTCGGCCACTAGATGAACTGCAGTTTGTGGCACTTCCTTCTGGGCTTCCCGGCTCTGCGCTTTGAAGCGCTGATTGGCTGTGGGTGGGCCAGACGTGCATGTGGGTGGGCCCAGGCTTACTATTCTTTTAGGTACTTTTAGGTTGGCAGTGAACATAAGTCAGAGGTACATGGTGTACTTTTCCTCCCCTACATGTGTTTAATCCCTTTAGTTACTTCACAGATGTGGATGAATGATGTGAAATCTAATCCAGGCCCACCCACAGCTACGCCGCTGAGTCACACGCACACACTTTTGCATTTCAAAGTATTGCTTGTTCATACAGTTGGATGTTGGAGCTTCACTGTGCACTGCTGAATGATGTATGTGCAGAGTTTGACCCTTCTTCTGCTCTGAAATGGAATATATTTGTTACATATTAATAGAATTTTAGATTTTTAGATTTCATTTCGGATTTGTGAATGGGAGAAGTAGTAGATGGAAAACATACCAAACACTAATTATTCAAAGTAAAGTATTTCATTTTTAGATACATTAATACTAAGGAGGCATAGGCCTATATGATGATACGATTATTGATATTAAAAAAGTGATTTGTTTTTTGTCATTAGAAAGTGAAGTTATTTATTTTTAAGCTCCAAATCCTAATTTTTCCCTCAATGGCCTTTGTGCCCTGGCATGTGGCCTTTGTGTGACACCAAAGGCCACATGGCCTTGCCCCTAAAATGACGAAAATCCAAGCCTGGTACAGACACAGTTATGTGCTAACCAAGCTACTAGCCTCTGTGTTTTGCTGTTTCTGCCTAACATGAGTTTAATGAGGCAACTCACTAAACTAATAGGCATAATTATCTGGCTATTTCAGATTCAAGGACAGCTTTAAAGCAATGCCACCCCCACAAATGCTTCAGGGAGAAAGAGAGCAAATGTGCAAGAGCAAAAGAGTTCAACTTTTTTAAACCCTGTGTGTTTGAGCTGCATTTAAAGAGAAATTCTAGGTTTCGATGTCTGTACGAGATACTTGGCATTCAGCTGTGTGTGACGTTTGGGATGAGATCCGTCCTGGATGATGAGGCAGAGATTGTATTTGTCAGAAATGATGCAGCTCTGGGAAATTATGATCTGCTTTCTGCTTGACATCATCCCTGAATGCCAGACTGAGACCACCAGTGATGATGATGATGATGAGATCAGTTAATCACATTTCAGTACACCTCGCAGGATAATGGGGATGTATTGAGTTGTATCAGTCAGGCATGATTTGTTTGGATGGAGATAAAAGCTCATGTTTTCTCAGGTGCATGTACATTGAGCGGCTTTCATACACTATATAGATTTGTAATTTGCAATGATCTTTTGATTGTTATTTTTGAAAATGTGTCTAGTTTTTATGTTTCAGTATTTGTTGTATGCACACAACACTCTTTTTGATTAGTTAGACTAGTTTTACCACTTTTCCACTCATGTAGTTCTACTTGTAATTGAGATGTATTTGTCTTTGTTTGCAGCTTGGAGACTTTTACTTGGAGCTTCACTGGGACTTCCAAAGTTGGGGTGAGTCAATCAAAACCTGCTGTCTAACAGTAGTGGCAGAAAACATCATCCACTCTGGAAGAGAACTATGTGTTACAGACAGAGAAATGTAATGGATGCTGCTGCCAAGTCTGTCTGGTTAGTGTTTATCTGTGCGGTAAGAGACTCATAGTGACCAGAGGCTACAGGCTGAACATGCCTCCTCCTGCTGGACATGAGCGGACACACCGCCCTCTGATGTCCACCTCTTTCCTTTTATTATTATATCCTCAAACCAGAAGCAGAATGTGTTCTCCAGCTGCACTGAATTTACGCACAATTGCACCTGATAAACCGTAACTGGATACAGATTAAATGTACCATGTGGGTTTAGTCAGCACTGTGAGCAAGGACAGAATTCTGTGAGCTCACTGTGTCCTTATTGAATGTGAATTATTGACTAGCAGCGCAGTATTATGTAATACACATGGCTGTAACTAAATGGATACCTGCTGCGCAACACAGTTTGTAAATGTCAAATGTGTAGGCAATACATTATTTGTAGATTAAAGAGCTTAAGTGTTCACATGATAAAGTGTCAGTATTTGGTTTTGGTTTTTTAAACACCTCTTGAGTTTTGAGCTATGATATAACTTCAAGGGAATTTTCTTGCTCTCAGTTACTCTCGTGAGTCTGACATATTTAGCCACAGACTTTCACGTTGTACTGCCCTCTAGTTACAGAGCTATATGATACCGAGGCTTTGAGGAGCGCAGTGGTCTGCATTATTGAGCATGCTTTCTAAATTTAGGCGTAGTTTCACATGTCCTTACTGTATCTCTTCATGTTGCAGTGCCTTTGCTCTCCAGAATCCTGCCTTCAGATGCCTGTAAGATCTACAAGCAGGGCCTCAACATCAGGCAAGTCCTGTCAACTAATGTATATAAGTAAAGTGTTTGATGTTTTAAACCAAGGTAGGGCATCTTACAGCTGCTTCATGACAGCAATATATTTTGTGATCTGATCAAATACACAAGAAAATTCAGAGGCATTTTTCAAGTCTCCTTGTCATCTTGTGCTGCACACACCAACCTCTCCTCTCGACCTCCCCGTTTTCTTTTGAACTAGTTTGGCTAACTAGAGTGTGAAATCATTGCCCGCAGTATGAGGAAGCTGAAAGGCGGCACAGATCTTTTACTTCTGTGTTTCAATTTTCAATCGGAGCCTCCTAGGGAGAGAGATACAGCAGCGTTTCACTATTGTTCCGCAGAAATTCCTCACCCTAAGACGCAAGATGACACATGGTCACAACAATGAATATACAGCAGGATTCCTCTTTCCTGTTGTTCATGTTTTGAGTTTTTCATGGCCTTTTGGCAGTTTTGAACTACCAGAAGTTTGTCTCTGACACAGATGCACAGCAGCTTATTTGTGAGACAAACCAGGGCAGCCCTTTATCCATATTTGGGCATCATAACATACCAACTAAATCTATTTGAAGAATCAACTTGGCACAGAGTGTGTTTGTGTCTCTGCATGCCGTGTGAGATATCCTTGATGTCATTATTCTGTGGAACTGCTCCTGGCTCTCATTTGGTATTCAAAATGCCCTCTCGTTATCCTGGAGGAACAGAGAGTAAAAAAGAGGGAGAGAGTGAAAGAAAAACTGTCACAGCAAGTTCATTTACATTCTGGGGCTTCAGAGTGTCAGGCCTGTCATACCTACATCGCTCCTACCACTGTGTGTTTAATGGAGATCAGCTATTTTCTTTGCTGTCCTACCTCATCCCTGGACTACCCGCTTTGACAAAGTGCAAAAAGAGAGTCTTGAAATGTGTTGTTGGTCGCCCATGGCAATGATTAACATACACATTGTCTCTTAACTCTGAGAGCAAAGGTGTGAAATACATCAGTATTGACTCTGGTGTCTGCCAAAGTGCAGCTCTTTTCTGTCACCCTCTGTTTCCTTTGCGTGGTTAGGCTGTCTTCTCCTCTAATGTATTTAAAGTTCCCACACTAAACTAAACACACTCTCTGTTTGTGCATACTTGTGTGTGTGTGTAGATTGGACACTACCCTGATAGACTTCACAGACATGAAGTGTCAGCGTGGGGACCTCAGTTTCATCTTCAACGGCAACGCCATCCCTTCCGAGTCCTTTGTTGTGCTGGACAACGAGCAGAAGGTTTTCCAGCGGATACACCACGAGGTGTGTGAGACATGCTGATACAAGACTGAAAATGACACTGATGATTATTTGTAATATTGATTTTATCTTACAAATTGTCTTTTGATGCATGGTTTTGTTTACATAATGTCAGAGAATAGTGAAAATATTTTCTCAAAGCAATATTGAAATATCTTGTTATTCATGTTCCTCAATTCATAGTTGCAGATTCATTTCTTTATATTAACTAATGATTTAATTGTTTTAGCTCTACTGCATTTCCAAATGTTTGGTTGTGGTGATAAAAGGGAAGCTATAATAAAGAAAAAAACAGACGCCCAATTTCATGACAAGCATAACTCTTTTCAGTAAATGACTAAATAGCATTGTTGCAACATATTAGGTATTTCATTTTTAATCTGGCCAGTAGTGGTTAAGATATCTTGCTCTTGCTAACAGACATTCAATTGATGCTACTGTTACATCAGTCAGAGTGTGGATGCCTCTGTGGTTTCCTGACCCTCTGCTGTATTTTCAGGAGTCTGAGATGGAGACGGAGGAGGAAGTGGACATCCTGATGAGCAGCGATGTTTACTCGGCCACTCTCTCCACCAAGTCCATCACCTTCTCCAGGGCGCAGACCGGCTGGCTCTTCAGAGAGGACAAGACGGTCTGTGGGACTCGTTAAAGTTGTATTGTGATGTTCTTATCGTGTTATTACTCCCACATCCTCACCCCTCTAAAGTCAGCTGTGGGTCTCAGGGCTCCACCTGGATGTGGAATTTCTGGAATTGTTATAGGTTTGACCCAGACAGAGAGTTCAAAAGAATTTGATCAATTGTCTGGTTACGGCAGGAAATTGAGGGTACACCGATATACATCAAAGGGTATATTACAGAGGATCTGTTGCACATCATCACATGTAATATGTTTTCAGCTGCTTTATTGGAAAGAGCAATGACTGTTGACCTCTTTACAACAGCATGTCTGACCTTTAAAAACTAAAAGCCAGAACAGTGTGCTGCCTTAAATGAATGGATCCCTGTACTCTCATATTTTAACATGAACTTTACTGTAGAATTACAATGCCATTTTATTTATTTCAGATACATTTGCAATAGTTTGATCTGGACTAAATTAGACTTTTTTATTTTTGGTCCTTTCACCCATTCCTCTCCATCTTTTTGAGCCTTTAAATGTGTCCCGATTATGTGTTTTAGTCTGACCTTTCTCTTTCTGTAGACTCTTTCCCTTTTCCTGATCATATTTCCTTCACTACATCTCCCATACCAGTAAATACATCAGCTATAACCCCAGAAAGTAACAACAGGTGAAAGACTCATAGTTAACACACAGGGCAGGGAGGTGGAGGATGAGTTATGTGGCTTTGTGTTATACTCCCTTTGAGAAATTGGTGACTCAGCAGGGGTTAATCTAACTGTTTCCTCCTCTTCCAGGAGCGAGTGGGAAACTTTCTGGCAGATTTCTACTCTGTGAACGGCCTGGTGCTCGAGTCCAGGAAGAGACGGGAGCATCTGAGCGAGGAGGACATCTTGAGGAACAAAGCCATCATGGAGAGCCTGAGCAAAGGAGGGAATATCATAGAGCAGAACTATGAGGTGAGTCAGCTTTCAAATATGGCTGAGTTTTAATTTCCACAGTATATTGAGGAAAAAAGGGGCTACCACACAGTGATTCTCGCAAACGCAAACAAAGTAAAGGTTTTACAGCTGCAACCATTTTTCCGGAACTACATTAGTCTTTTATTAAGCCATTTACTGTGTCCTTTCCATCGCCTCTACTCAAACTGATTCCCATCAAGGGGGTTCAATTTCAACGTATTGGCCCAGGTGAGTAAAAACAAACAAAGTTGGTGGATACTGAGAAGTCATGCTGTCCTTGGTAAGAAACAGAAGAAGTTATGTCTACTAGTGTGCAGCTTGAAATTGAGAGCAATGGAGGAGGAACTTTTCAATAAATGTTCTCGCGGATAAACATCCTGTTTACTCAAACCTGCAGCGTAACCACCAGTCCAGTCCTGAAACTGTCCTGTCCCGCTGGAACCTTGGGGTAGGACTGAAGTCTCCGACCAAATAAACCTCACAGATCTCACTACTGTATCTGCACTGCACTGTAGGAACATCACAGACCCCCTGCGGGACCCTGTCAATCCACTCTGCATGCTTTATTGAGACATTCCTGCATTACTCCCCACTGTCGTTCTTTGATGTTAGATTGGTTTCAGAAATGAAAGCAGGATGAAAAGTTTATACAGGTCCACCCCATCCACTACATGGATTGAAGTCCCTTCAATGCCACCTAGTGGAGAAAGCTACACAGCTGCACCTTCACACTCACACTCTGACAGTCCCACCCATCATCCGTCACTGCAGTATGTTCTAGAGTTTGCCCAGCCAGCCTTTGTCTAAACACCAACCATAAAGCCAGTCGCACATGAGGAAAGCCTCTCACCTCTCAATAGATTTTTAACTGCTCTGTGTGTTTTGTGTCCACTCCCCCTTGTTCTGTGCTGGTCTTTGTCTCATCATCTCTATTGTCTGTCAAACTATCACCACTTATTCAAATCACCCATGTGTATTGTACAAAGCTGTGGGCATTAGTATCGATGTGGGAATGTTTCTATTTCCACCGCAGCAGTGAAATTATATGTGGAATGTGGGTGAGAAGAAAATAAGCAGCTGCTGTGACGTAGCTGTGTTTACCGGGGCGATGCGGAGAGGGTCAGCGCTGCCTGTGGACAGCGTGGGGGCTTTTGAACAGGGCTGACACTATTGATCACATGGCTGAAGGCTAAAAGCCCTTGTGCGATGGAATGATGGAGGGCGGGGAGCGGCACCGATCAGGGCCTCAGCTGGCTGCGTGTACGCTGTCCTCGTCACAACAACACGCCACGACCCATACACACAGTGAGAGAGCACAAGGCCGCAGCCGGAAGTGAACACACCAAAATATCTCTGTGTTCAGACTGCAGCTGCGGAAGGAGAGGAACTAAGATATCGCCTCCTTTTGGATTCGCAGCAGACTTTTATCACAATCTTATGTCTCGTAGTTCACAACATTTTGCCACATTATTCTGCCCTAGTTGCTTTATTTAATCACGGCTTATAAAAGAGAGGTCAGCTGGCGGGATTCAGGGTGAATATTGGCAGGAACATCGAGTTCATTTGAGGAGAAAGTCAATTTTAGGAGAAACAGGATGGAGCTCCTCATAGGGTCAGCCAGAGCAATCTTAAAATAAAGTGACGCTGAAGGAGAACTCTTACACTTTATCCAAGAGGGCAGGATCATTTTCCTCAGGAAGCTTTGGATATTATTTGATATGAGGAGGAAACTCCTATATGGTTTTATATGGCTGATCTCTAGAGAGGTGTATTTTTTTTGCTGGTGGATAGAGACACAGCTGATAACAAAACTGATCGGAAAAACCTGTTGGATTTTTTCTAAACATACATCTCAGTGTCCATCTAAGTGTATTCTCCGCCTTCTTTGGCTTATACATTTGTCCATTTTTATGTAAAACACTGATTCTGATCATATAAGTGGTGCTTTTCTGTAGTTGTTACAGCCGTGGGTTATTAACACCTTCAGGCGCTCCTATTTAGCTATTCATTTGCCTTTATGTATTTGTCGTTCCACCTCACCAACCGTCATGCTTCGGTCTTTCTCATGCAAGTAAAATTGCAATGGAGCATTGATTGATTGATTGAAAAGTTTATTAACAGCTTGTATATTGGGTACAGTACAGTACAGCTCAAAACATACAATTGTTAAGGGGATGCAGACCAGAGAAAGACTTTCGTCTTGTTTACATCAGGGTCCCCCATTTCCAATTCATCATGTCATTTAAGACATATAAGACATATTTGACATACAGATGGCTTATTTACAATTTACATACAGGTGGTTTTTTTACATACAGATTGCTTATTTACAATTTTCATTTTAGATTTCGTTCTAATACATCCTAACCGGACATTTAAGACATACCAAGTCTACAGATATACAGTTAGTAACAGAGTCTAAAATGCGAGTATATACATAGATGGGGGGGGGGGGGGGGGGGGGGGGGGGGGAAGCTGTCCATTGACCGACAGGTTTGAGATTGTACCATTACCGGGGCCAGTTTTGCAATGCTCTCCCCCGAAGGTGCTCTTTAAGAGAGGTTTTGAAGGTAAGTATAGTTTTACTTTCCTTTACAGTTGTGGGAAGAGCGTTCCACCTTGATGTGGCATAATTGTGAAACGTGTATTCCCCCTTTTTTGTGCCAAATCTGGGTTTCACATGATTTGTGGAGCTCCCTCTGGTGTTATGATCATGGTATTCCTTGACCTTTGGGAAGAATTTTGACATGTACATGGGTACCATAGAGGTGTAGTGGATCTTGTAGACCAGGCCCATTGCAAGTAGCTGTACTCTGTCGTCTACTCTAAGCCATCCTAGGTTGTCAAAGTGGGCAGAGGTGAGGTGGGTTCTAGATGAAAGGTCAAGCAGTAGTCTGACCAGTTTATTTTGCGATGTTTGAAGTTTTATTTTTAGCGCCTTGGAGGTGCTATGGTACCATGACGTGCAAGCATAGTCATAGTACCCTTGAATGAGTGCTCCTGCCAGAGTTTTCAGGGTGTGTTTTTGTTTACCAGAGAGGAGATCCGGTATAGGAATCTAGTCTTTGATTGACTTTTTTATTACATTGGATGCCATTTTGTCACAGGAGAGGTTTGCCTCAAGAATAGATCCTAGGTATGTAATTTCCTTCTTACTTGTGACAATAATGTCGCCCACTGCAACTGAGAAGTCGTCGGATTTGCTGAGATTATGTTTCGAACTGAAGAGAATGGACTCTGTTTTACCCAGGTGTAATGATAATGTATTATCGGCGAGCCAGGTGCAGATTCTGCCGAGCTCGGAGCTGAGGGTTTTTTTCAACCTGCAACCTGTTCCTGTCAGAGACCAGCAGGGCTGAGTCGTCCGCGAACAGGAACAAGTTGCAGTCACATGCTGATGACATGTCATTTACATAAATTAGGAACAGTAACGGACCTAATATGCTTCCTTGTGGAACACCACAGCTCACTGGGAGGGGGGGGGGGGGGACAGAGTACCGTTTACCTCCACCATCTGTTCTCTCCCCTCCAGGTAGGATTGCATCCAGCTCACCGATAGTTTATCAAAACCAATTGCTTTTAGCTTGTCAATCAGAATGGGGTGATTGACAGCAAAGAAAGTAAACAACAAAAAGTAAATACCGAAATGTGTACTCATCCTCAGTTGTTCCCAGGACAACAAACATTTAACTTGTATCGACACAGACTGCTGTCTGAGTCTTTAATGCTTCTCTTTCTGGCTGTTTTCTGCTGCTGTAGAAATGTCATTCTCTGTGTGAATGCAAAAAGGGTTAAGAGCAAAAATGCTGCTTTTCAGGAAGTTAGGGGAATTTGTACTTTAATAGATTAACACTGAAATAGGTTAATGTCTCAGGTATCAGCTGTTTAGTGGTGTCTTTAATTATAGTACTTCAGTTTCATTTAATCTGAGAGGCTGTAAATGCCAAACAGAGGTTAGTGCGTTTAGTGAGGCAGCGGGGCCCCCTACAGGCCTGGGCTGTACATGGCATCGCTCTGGGGGTATATTGGTATATTTGATCGACCCATTTTAAAACACCCTGGTTAAATGTAATGTTTGTCTCTTTTCAGTTGAATCATTATGACATTTTATTTTTTTATGTGTACCATTGTTTTCACTGTTGTGTCTGTTGTGTGTGACCCTGCAGCAGTTTAGTCTTTAGATGCCTTTAACACAACAAAACACAAACATTGTTTTCTCTCTGCTCCTCAGCCGGCGAGGAGGCAATCTCTAACGGCCCCCTCACCCAACACCATATCCTGGGAAGAATACATCAGTGCTGACAACGGAAAGTAGGTTTTACAGAACCATTATGAGCACTAATGGTATTGTAAATCATAGACATGTATTTGTGAATGAAAGAACTACATTTCTGAAACCATTGTAGCTTATATTATCTTCTCGCTCACATCGAATGTTTCTTTGTGTGACGGGGTTCAATTCGTCCATTCGATACATGGCTTAGTCGGTTGTTTAAGCTCCAAAAAAACTTTATTTATATCAGCAACAAAATATATACGAACCAGCATACCTTAAACAAACAAAATAAAAGACAAAAACAGGCCGTCCATCACTCATTCAGAGTAAACGTGTTCTGGCTGTTGCCTTCTCTGCAACAAACCCCAGAACACGTCTCAGCTGTTGCCTTCTCTGCAACAAACCCCCGAACACGTCCCAGCTGTTGCCTTCACTGCAACATTCTTCAGAGTGACACAGTCCAAAAAGCAAGGAACCAACACCGTCCCTTTTGACCCCATAGCCCCTCCCACAGGCTCACCGTCAACAGGTGACACAATCAACTCAAAACCACATTTCAACAAAAGAATCCGACCCAAACATAAACAGGTTAACCACCTCTTAACATAATCATTCCCCATAATTAAACAAACGTAAAATAAATAAGAAATTGCATGGTTCATTTGACGGAAGAGAGCAGGGAAATGTTTTGTGTGTGTGTGATGTGGTGTGTGTGTGTGTGTGTGTGTGTGTGTGTGTGTGTGTGTGTGTGTGTGTGTGTGTGTGTGTGTGGTGTTGTGTGTGTGTGTGTGTGTGTGTGTGTGTGTGTGTGTTATGTGTGTGTGTTGTGTGTGTGTGTGTTGTGTGTGTGTGTGTGTGTGTTATGTGTGTGTGTGGTGTGGTGTGTGTGTGTGTGTGTTGTGTGTGTGTGGTGTGTGTTGTGTGGTGTGTGTGTGTGTGTGTGTTGTCCGGGTGTGTGGTGTGTGTGTGTGTGTGTGTGTGTGTGTGTGTGTGTGTGGTGTGTAGTGTGTGTGTGTGTGGTGTTGTGTTGTGTGTGTGTGTGGTGTGTGTGTGCTGTGTGTGTGTGTGGTGTGTGTGTGTGTGTGTGTGTGTGTGTGTGCTGTCAGTGGCGGAGTCAGTCACTCTGTGACCCGCTCCGTCACATTTTGAATTGAATCTTCCCATGCAAACATCTACATTTTAGAGTCACAGAAAGTTTAACTGCAAAGCTGTTCAAAGCTGGTGTTCTTCTCACTGATAAGAGTCACATTCAGTTTCTGTTTGAGAGAATGAGACACGAGGCAGGGCGAGTTACTTCCGTCAAAAAGATTTCTGCATGAAAAATCTCTGAGCTCCTCAGCATGAAGTGACGTTCTGACAGGTTGTCGTTTCTCTCTCCGCTCAGAGCTCCACATGTGGGAAGAGAGCTGGTCTGCAAAGAGAGCAAGAAGAACTTCAAAGCCACGGTAGCCATGAGTCAAGACTTCCCTCTGGGCATCGAATCGTAAGTCTGTTCCTAACTCAGCCTCCAGACTGCTATTAAACCGCAGACAGACAAAATGCTCTCATGTTATCTTCTCAGCAGAGTGGTGATAAAAAGAGAAATGCATTTGTTTCTGAATGTTTGTGTTTCCGCAATGTGTTACAGATCTATCCTCTCAGGCTTATAATATAATGGTGTTGATGAAAGCAGTTAATAAATACTCAATTGGATATTAAAATAAGTAATTGGATATTAAAAATGTAAGAAAATATAAACAAATCAGAGCAATTATAATTAAACTTGTTAGCATTTAAATACAATAGCCTGTATTTCAGATGTACGTTTATTTTCAATAGTGTTCTTTCTATAACCTGCCATTTGTTGTTGTTTATGTGCTTTGGTGTTTTTGTTTTCCCTCAGGTTATTGAATGTTCTGGAGGTCATTGCACCCTTCAAGCACTTTAATAAACTCAGGGAGTTTGTTCAGATGAAGCTCCCCCCCGGCTTTCCTGTCAAACTGGGTGAGTGGAAGTAACTCAAAAAGCATTTCAAATATGGAAGGAAATCTACCGTTGACAGCTCTTACAAAATAAAAGCATGCCTGTAAGATTTCCACGGATTAAATGAGTAATTCCTCTTGTGTCTCTCTGCAGACATCCCAGTGTTTCCCACCATCACAGCCACCGTCACGTTTCAGGAGTTTCGCTACGATGAGTTCGATCAGACCATTTTTACCATTTCCAACGAGTATAAAGAAGACCCTAGCCGCTTCCCTGACCTTTAACATCTCAAGCAGGAACATGAAAAGAAACGTGCGACAAGGCAACATCATGCTACAAGACATACTTTTTTAAAACTAAAAAGGAAAATAATTCCATCGCATCCCTGAACACAAACTGCAACGAGTTTTACATCACGACAGCTGCTGCAGAGAGGTCGACATCGCCTCATAATGACAGTGTTTTAAAAACTCAGTGTTACAGTACTCTCACATTCAGGTGGGTTTAATCCCAGTCACATCAATTAAAGGGCATTGAAGTTAAACTGGGTTTTCTGTAAACGGGGTATAAATACAGTTCAGTTGATGCTATGTATTTAAGTGTGTAAGTAATGTTTATAAAGGGAATATGTTTAACTGACATGTAATAAAGCAATGATATTACTGTGTAAGATTTTGGGGAGGGATTCTGCCAAAAATGACTTTTAGGGTCCTTTTTCTTGCTTTATAATTTGTTACAGGTCTGAAAGATGCTCCAAAAACAGATACAATTAAAATCATTATTGGGAATTGAGTGAAATTCCTAAGAATCCGTTTTTGCAGAATTCCTTAAATTGTGTGTGAGTGTGTGTAACATTGATTTTATTGGGCGTGGAGTAGCATCACTGAACCTTCGGGCACTATTTAGATCCACTACATTCAGTTAGGTTCATAAACTTTTTTGTGAAACCCAACACTTAATCCTGCTTTTTAAAATATTATAGTTTCATCGTGGCAACGCTACAAATGCTGCAATTTCTGTGGTAACGAAACGTTTTTGTATTTGTTTGAGTGGCAGCAAGTGTAAGTAATGATGTCTAAGCCTTTTGTTTCATACAACACCTTTGTAAACTATGTAACAAACTGTACAATCTTGCTACTGGGGATTGTATAGCAAGAAGATATTAGGAAATACAAGACTGTCTACAACATTCATGCCATTTTTACACCTAACAAGAACCAGGCTTTTCCCCTGCACAATATGTAAATACATGTTTTATGAGCTTTTGTCTTTTACGTTCTCTTTTATTATTCTTTGTGCTGATGAATTTAGGCAGAATTGTGGATTTTTTTTTAATGTGGCGTCACAAGTTAATCAAGAATTTGTTGATTTGTAAAATGGTGGTGATTTTGTACATACTTGTAATGTTTTAAAGGACCAGTGAATCACTTAACTCTTCTGTCATTATTTCACCAATCTCTGATAAACCTTATGAACCTCCTTCAGGTGTGTGACCGAACAATCTTCTCCACAGGGGACAAACCCAGAGCACAAAGCTTCCTCTGGAAAGTTGAACCCTTCACGAGTGTTTATAGCTGCTGCTGTAATTCATGGGCTGTTTACATATGTGAAGGTTCAAGTGTAAACAATTAGCCTTTTTGCCTCTATTTTCAGTATCACTATAATCAAATACAGCACTTTTAGTTTTTTGCATTACATTCCTCAGTACGGGCAGCAAAGCTTGGCAGTGCACATCCTCAATGACATAAAAGTTTACATTTGATTCCATGCTCCTTCCTGTCTTAAGCTATTTAAATTGTCCATGTTTCAAGGAAATTCATCATTCAACATGTCTGATGTAGGGCAAAAACTTGTATACATCTCCAACACTATTTTCATAAAAAATGCACTAAAAATAAAGATTCCACATATCTCTAATAGTTTGGCCTGCCATTTTCATTTGTTTTATTTCTTGTAATTGGAACGTCAGAATGGTAGTATGGCTTCAAAGAAATGTAAGTCATAAAATAGTATATCTATAAAATAGACATAAAAGAACATGTCTTTGAATAATCTAAGTAAAGTCTTTTGCAAAAAATATTTCAAAATTCATAGTGTATATTGTTGTAAAACAAGTCATAAAGTTAAATTAGTCATATATAGTCAGTATGTAAATACAACATGAAAATAATATAGTTTGTCATATACACTTAGTTGTAAACAAGTCATAGTATAACTTCTATAACTAAATAAAGTTATAGTTTCTAATAAAACAATTGTATACTCCAGGGTTCATACACTTTTTCACCAATGATTTTCAATGACTTCTCAATGACCTTTACCTCATTTTCCATGACCAAAAAAAAATGACCACTGAAAATGGTTTATTTGAACATGGAACAGGAAAATAAGGTCTGCATATGAAACATGTTGTGCCTATCTAAAACAAATCAAATAGTAGGCTTACTAGCTTCTACACGCTGAAGCAACTGCAGTCAGGGAGGCAAACTCATCATAGAAATATATAAAAGCATTTATTTTAATTGTGTAGCAGTCAGTTTATAATTCTGGCAGCACTGTTGAGCATTTTGAAAATGTATTTTCATGCCTCTGTGCAAGGCTTAGTCTTTCTATCTTTATAGCCACTGGTGTAAAGTAACTAAGTTCATAAACTCAACAAGTACTATACTTGGGTACTGTAGAGGAAACTTCTGTGTAGCTATGCAGTGGGAGTCACCGACTCAGGAAGGAGACACGGTAGGAGCAGTAGCTTTGATGTCAAACACTGGTGGTTTATTTGGAGTTAACGGCCGGAGGATTCACATCACAAGTCCAAGAGTCAGAGGTTCTGACTCCACGGTAGAGTTGCCACGTCAATTCTGGAGAGCCTCTCTCTTGCCAGCCCATCTAACTGGTTTCGCAGAGAGTAAACAACATATTTGAGGAGATAGCCTAAACAGTGTGGGAACACTGAGCTACTTGCGTCGGACACTTATGACCTCGAAGATTTCACCTTGGAGTCCACAAATACAGAGAAGGAAGTGTCCCAGTGTACCCACAACACAGACCATCTGTGACCCAGTATTGACCGGTCACAGAAGGGGAACAATAACATTATTGGCTAAGCAGCCTGTGTCCTTAAAAAAGGTAAACAGACATCAAGGTTTGTCCTGTATGTCACATCTTGGCGTCTATGACAATTATTTCCATAACAGGTACAATTTTGAGATACTTGTACTTTATTTAAGTATTTCAATGTTTTGCTACTTTGTTCTTCTTCTCCACTACAGTTCAGAGGTACATGGTGTACTTCTACTACATGGTGTACTTTTCCTCCACTACATGTATACCTTTAGTTACTTCACAGATCTGGATGAATGATGTGAAATATAACCAAGTGTTGAATCAGACTTTAGTTCCACCTGGAATAAATCCACAAGCTACCCTGCAGTATACAAAGTCATTCAAACTAGCTGCACCTTTACCAGCTATATATCATATATATTATTCTGAAATGGACCAATCTGCACAATGACTACTTTTACTGTTGCTACTTTCACTATATTTTGATGAGAATACTTTTCTACTTTTACTTGAGGAACATTTTGAATGCAGAACTTTTACTGTAACAGAGTATTCCTACACTCTGGTACTTTTACTCAAGTACAAGACCTGAGTACTTCTACTTTTACTCAAGTACAAGATCTGAGTACTTCTACTTTTACTGTCGCTACTTTAACTATATTTCGATGATAATACTTTTGTACTTTTATTTGAGGAACATTTTGATTGCATGATTGTTCCTACACTCTGGTACTTCTACTTTGACTCAAACCTGAGTACTTGCACTTTTACTCAAGTACAAGATTTGAGTACTTCTACTTTTACTAAAGTACAAGATCTGAGTACTTCTACTTTTACTCTAGTACAAGATCTGAGTACTTCTACTTTTAATCAAGTACAATATCTGAGTACTTCTACTTTTACTCTAGTACAAGATCTGAGTACTTCTACTTTTAATCAAGTACAAGATCTGAGTACTTCTACTTTTACTCAAGAACAAGATCTATACTTATACCACCTCTGTTTATAGCCTATGAAAAAGACTATTAGAAAACGAAGGCTAAAGCTAACGTTAGCAGATAGTGACAATGTATGCTAGCTAGCTAGCTCAACGATAATATTGCGACAGAAAAACTTTTCAGTTCACATCACGCTCTGCCGCTCCGACAGGGAGCTCTGCTCTGAACACCTGCACGGCCCGTTCTAACAGCTGTTCACCAGCGGTCCAGTCTGTGCCACAGTGACTCCCGACCACACAGTTAATATTAACGAACGCACCCGTAGGTAATGTAGCTGCTGAAGCTAGACCATCATCGCGGCCGCAGATTAATCCGGGTCTCAGACCCCCCATACCCCAAAAACATTTTTATTGCAGATCTACATGAGTCACACACACGACCTATTTTGGATTCAAAACGGCGAATTTCGCCGAAAGGTGACAAGTTTGCATCCCTGTTAATCCCTTTAGTTACTTCACAGATCTGGATGAATGATGTGAAATCTAATCAAGTGTTAAATCAGACTTTAGTTCCACCTGGAGTAAATTCACAAGCTACCCTGCAGTATACAAAGTCCTTCAAACTAGCTGCACCTTTACCAGCTTTGAGAACACTTTCATGATCAAGCATTATAAAACATATATATATTATTCTGAAATGGACCAATCTGCTCAATCACTACTTTTACTGTCGCTACTTTCACTATATTTTGATGAGAATACTTTCTACTTTCACTTGAGGAACATTTTGAATGCAGGACTTTTACTGTGATAGAGTATTCCTACACTCTGGTACTTCTACTTTTACTCAAGTACAAGATCTGAGTACTTCTACTTTTACTCAAGTACAATACCTGAGTACTTCTACTTTTACTCAAGTACAAGATCTGAGTACTTCTACTTTTACTCTAGCACAATATCTGGGTCATTCCAGAATTGGAGGACATTTCATGTCCCCCATATAAAAAAATCTAATAATCCATGCCCAAAAGGCTAAAGCATGCACTTGTAAACATACTTGTATTGAGACAAAATGTATATAAAGTTGTAGAAAAAGTGGTTTCAAAATATTATTTAAATGATCAAATAGCTCTCGAACATCCCCTAAAATGGCATTTTTCTCTTGTCCCCGCTTCTTGGTGACCAACTTGCATGTCAAATATAACATTTAAAATAGGGATTTTATTTACTTTTTTTGGTATTATTCTATTGATATATGTCTCTTGTAATGGTAAAATCAAATTGTTAAATCATAAACATATTTTAAATAACAGTAATTTTGCACAGAAGGTGTGTCCCTTAACATGCGTTCAACCCTGTTACCCAAACCTTTTTAGATTGGCACAGGAAGTGAAAAAACTATAAATCAGATGACACAGTGGAAGTGACATCAGCTAGCCATGTGCTAGTGCCATGGGTAGACCAAAACTAAGTCCTCTCTTTTATTTTTCATATTTTTACAATCTTTTCAGTCTTAAAAGAGTGTGGCACTCTGACCCACTCAACCCTGTTACTGATATTATCAGAATAAAGCATATTCATTTCAAAGTTATCTTTCTTGCATTAGATATCCAAGTTTGTCTTTGCCTTGAAAGTAGCATTCCATGCTACATCTAGCAATAATTCCTGAGGTTAAAGCTCAAATTAGCATTGATTTTCAACCCTGTTACTTTCAACCCTGTTACTATAATTAGAGTAACAGGGGTAATTCTTCATTGAAAAATATACATTTGATGCCTAGCTGGGCAAATCCCTTTTTTTGATGGTTTATTATCTGTTTTTCCTGAATACATAAAACAAATTATAAAATAAAAGGTTCATTTTTCAAAAATGTTGGTGTCTAAATTGTCCTCCAATTCTGGAATGACCCACCTATATTTATACCACCTTTGTTTATAGCCTATGAAAAAAACTATTAGAAAACGAAGGCTAAAGCTAACGTTAGCAGATAGTAACAATGTATGCTAGCTAGCTTGCTCAACGATTCCTTAAATAATATTGCGACAGAAAAACTTTTCAGTGCACATCACGCTCTGCTCTGAACACCTGAACGGCCTGTTCTAACAGCTGTTCACCAGCGGCTCAGTCTGTGCCACAGTGACTACTCCACACAGTTAACGAACGCACCGTAGATTGATTGATTGATTGAAAAGTTTATTAACAGCTTGTATATTGGGTACAGTACAGTACAGCTCAAAACATACAATTGTTAAGGGGATGCAGACCAGAGAAAGACTTTCGTCTTGTTTACATCAGGGTCCCCCATTTCCAATTCATCATGTCATTTAAGACATATAAGACATATTTGACATACAGATGGCTTATTTACAATTTACATACAGGTGGTTTTTTACATACAGATTGCTTATTTACAATTTTCATTTTAGATTTCGTTCTAATACATCCTAACCGGACAGTTAAGACATACCAAGTCTACAGATATACAGTTAGTAACAGAGACTAAAATGCGAGTATATACATAGATGGGGGGGGGGGGGGGGAAGCTGTCCATTGAACGACAGGTTGAGATTTGTACCATTACCGGGGCCAGTTTTGCAATGCTCTCCCCCGAAGGTGCTCTTTAAGAGAGGTTTTGAAGGTAAGTATAGTTTTACTTTCCTTTACAGTTGTGGGAAGAGCGTTCCACCTTGATGTGGCATAATTGTGAAACGTGTATTCCCCCTTTTTTGTGACAAATCTGGGTTTCACATGATTTGTGGAGCTCCCTCTGGTGTTATGATCATGGTATTCCTTGACCTTTGGGAAGAATTTTGACATGTACATGGGTACCATAGAGGTGTAGTGGATCTTGTAGACCAGGCCCATTGCAAGTAGCTGTACTCTGTCGTCTACTCTAAGCCATCCTAGGTTGTCAAAGTGGGCAGAGGTGAGGTGGGTTCTAGATGAAAGGTCAAGCAGTAGTCTGACCAGTTTATTTTGCGATGTTTGAAGTTTTATTTTTAGCGCCTTGGAGGTGCTATGGTACCATGACGTGCAAGCATAGTCATAGTACCCTTGAATGAGTGCTCCTGCCAGAGTTTTCAGGGTGTTTTTGTTTACCAGAGAGGAGATCCGGTATAGGAATCTAGTTCTTTGATTGACTTTTTTTATTACATTGGATGCCATTTTGTCACAGGAGAGGTTTGCCTCAAGAATAGATCCTAGGTATGTAATTTCCTTCTTACTTGTGACAATAATGTCGCCCACTGCAACTGAGAAGTCGTCGGATTTGCTGAGATAATTTATTATCGGCGAGCCAGGTGCAGATTCTGCCGAGCTCGGAGCTGAGGGTTTTTTCAACCTGCAACCCGTTCCTGTCAGAGACCAGCAGGGCTGAGTCGTCCGCGAACAGGAACAAGTTGCAGTCACATGCTGATGACATGTCATTTACATAAATTAGGAACAGTAACGGACCTAATATGCTTCCTTGTGGAACACCACAGCTCACTGGGAGGGGGGGGGGGACAGAGTACCGTTTACCTCCACCATCTGTTCTCTCCCCTCCAGGTAGGATTGCATCCAGCTCACCGATAGTTTATCAAAACCAATTGCTTTTAGCTTGTCAATCAGAATGGGGTGATTGACAGTGTCGAAAGCCTTTTGTAGGTCCAGCATCACCATGCCGCAGTACTTGCCCTCGTCCACCTCTTGTTTGATGTGGTCGCTCAAATAAAGAAGGCATGTGTCAGTGGAGTGGGATGTTCTAAAGCCAGATTGAAATTCATAGATTAGTTTCTTTTCCGCGAGGTACTTTTCGACCTGTTCATATACTATTTTTTCCATGACTTTCGAGATGGAGGTAAGTATAGAGACAGGGCGGTAGTTGCCTGGGTCCAATTTGCTGCCCTTTTTGTGCAGGGGGGTTACTCTTGCAATTTTGAAGTCTTTGGGTACTTTTCCCTGTTTTATGGAGAGGTTAATTATGTGAGCTATGACTGGTGAGATGGCGGTTGCTGAGTCTCTGAGGAATTTGGAGGGGATATTGTCGTGGCCAGTGGCCTTGTTAGGTTGGAGGGCGCTCAGTTTAATGAGTACCTCTGCTGTTGTTACCCTTGCTAGACTGAAAGATACTGAAAGATAATGTAGCTGACCCTCATCCCGGAGCAGCAGAGTTCAGCCGACAGGCAGGAAGACTCGAGCACACAGCTCGCGCTTCATAGGCATGGATGGCTATTAACAAATAACACCATGCGCGTCATGAATGATGGCTCGCGACCGCAGATTATTTCGGCGATTAGATCAAATGTAAATTAAATTTGACGCAACTTTAGTTACATTTCCATGACTTTGGGAAAAATATTGTTTTCCATAACTTTTCCAGGGCCTGGAATTTTCATTTTGAATTTCCATGACTTTTCCAGGTTTTCAATGACCGTACGAACCGTGATACTCTCATAGTATATTATGTCTTTGAAATGAAATAAAAACGATCAAAGTTTAGTTTTTAATTATCTCAAATGAAAGGGCCACGTTGGTATTGTAGGCCAGTGCAGCCCCTAAGGCCTGTGGTGGTGTGTGCGGCCTCAGACTACGTCCGAAAAAGGTGGGGCACACAACCTTGATAACAGCCACATACATACGGTCTGTGTTTAAGGTTTCCTCCCCAGCTAGTTGGCGCCTCGATATGTCAGTCAGAGGACTCGAGGTGTTCAATGTATTTAAACTTTGAGCACAGCGCTTGGCAACGAGTTCGGTGCAATACATTCGAGCGGTACGCGACGTCAAGGGATACGTTCCAATCCGAATAGTCGGTTCGGTCCACCCCTGGTCATGTGACTTCAGAAGCTGATAGAGAACTTCTAGTTGCATGGTAACCGCGTCCTTGTCCTTGCGTCCTGTCGCTGAAATAGCGTTCTGTCATCAATGCTAGTGCTGCTAGCTAAAGTTAGCAACGTCTGTCCATAATTGTGCTGTTCAATGAGGAAGAAAAATATATTTAGTGTATTTTATGAAAACATCAATCATATGCTGGCGTCTTAAATTAACACCGTTATATACTACGGTTTGAGCCTTACAAAAACCCGAAGTATAATCAAGCAATTAGCATTTTTTGGGCAGTTATTGTGAGAGATATGATGCAACAGTGAAGAACTTAGTTACAAGAACTGTAAAACATTTCGAACATCTACTAAAACACAAGTTGACAGTTTGACCCAATTTTATTAGTTTCCTTTGGAAAACCTACTGACTTCGTTGCAACACCACATTTCAATCTACAGTGTACACTTACAAAGAGTTGTAAATAGGCAGGTCAGCTCGAACACAACGTTGTGCATTACAGTTAAACAAAAATGATTCAGCAACCAAAAGAATGAGCATGAAGCCAGTGCTGGGTGGTGAGGGACTAACAGTCTGAGGGAAGAAAGGACTTGATCCTGACTAGTAAATATTTACAGACAGCATTTTAGTGGGAAACGCTGAGTATTTTACTGCCAGTAAAACATTTGAACACAAAGGCAACAAAAAGAAAATTCAACAGGATCTTAAAAAAGTACAGCATTGACAATTAAAAACCACGTTGCATGTTATTTATATTTAGTCCTTGTTTTCTCCTTTCTTTACAAAAATTATTTAACTGCTTTCCGTTTAAACCACCCCAATGCTTCTACAGTTAATACAACAAATCTTTTCAACTTTGAGTGAACAGGCACTGACATGTTGTGGCCTATATTAAAAATATAAAACAGGACAGTGGACAGAAAACACGGTCTGGTTCGGGACGCTCCTAGTCGCTCATCTCCATGTCTTCCTGGTGATGGTCGTCTCCATTTAGTTTGGACTTTTTGGGGATTTGGCCCTCGGATCTTTCTATCTCCTCCAGGCCTTTGCGGGTGGGAGTTGAGGCGGAGTCAGAGTCGGTCTTCCTCTCATCGTCATCCTCCTCCAGTCCTTCCTTTTCACTGTCATAACCCTGCTCCTCTTCATCGTAATCCCGAGTAACCTGTCCAAACAATTCAAGTAACTTAAATTCAAGCCAAAGTCCCATGAAATGTAGCCACCTAGGACTATATTTAATGGTAATGTCAGGCGCTTAATGTACCTTCACGTCTCCCTTCTCGCTATCAGACTTGCGATCGCGATCTCGCTCTTTGTCTTTGACCTTCTTCTTCTTGCTGCTGGAGCGTTCTCTCTCATCTCTGTCCTCCCTCCTGTCTCTTTCCCGGTCCTTCTCACGCTCCTTGTCCTTCTTTTTTTCCTTCTTGTGACTGTGAACATGACAAATGTATAATTTTTAGTTTGTATACTAAAAATAACTGCATTTATTACATTGAATGTTAAACGTGTTGAACTACTCACCGTTTGGGCGATGGAGACCTGGACAGCTTCTTCTTGGGGGACCGAGTTGCACTTCGGCTTCGCCTGTGCCTCCTGAGAAGCAACATTAAAGAAAAATCTGTTAAAGGAGACATGTCATGCTTTTCTGGTTAGTACCCGTCCCCTTGTGTGTTATGAAGGTTTGTATGCATGTAAACGGTGTGCAGAGTCAAAACCCTCAAAGTACACCCTGTAGCGAGTAAAACTCTACCTCCCCAAAACGCCTCATTGGAGATACGTCCATTTGATTCCTCCGATGATGTCAACCCATACCCGGAACGAAATGGACCAATCCGTGGTGCCGTTACGTTACGTACGCGGAGCAGTTACGTTAAGCCCCCGCTGATTGGTCCAAATTGACAAATCCACGGACTTCCTCACACACACACACTCAGTGCATGCAGCTCTGCTGATTTCTCATCCCTGGCTGCAGGCTGATAACAGACAGTTGGGATCGCGGCAAAATTCTCTCTGCAGACCCATTCTCACAGCGTTTATCAACCTTTTTCTTAGTCAATATCAAGCCACACTTATTTTTTTTACTTCGGCTGTGAGTGCTCAGGATGAGTTTGGCTGTGTATCGCTAAACAAGGAAACAACACCTCCACGGAGCTCAGCTCGATTCACAACGTCCAGACCAATCAGAGCACACTGTGCTCACAGGGAGGGTTTGGAGCTATTGGAGCTACAACGAGCCGTTAAAGGCAGAGAGTGAAATTCAGTGAACACACGTCGTTTACAGAGATGCTGTATGAGAAACCAATGTGAGTTTGGAAAATTGCACAATATAAATCTATTCTAGTAGACCTCAACAATGGAATTATGATCAGTGGAAATGGCCATGACATGTCTCCTTTAAGAAATCTGTCATTTCCAAATGATGTACTGCTACCAATGAGAATTATTTTCTGTTGTGAATGTAAAATCTCATTGAGGAAAGTATTGTTTAAATTGTAATAAGTCATCTTAATAATTAGGTTTTAAAATATATTATTGTATTCTATTCAGACAATACAAATGTTAATTACTTGAGTGGTTAATTTCAAGAGACCGTCTGATGTTTATAAATGTTGTTTTATTAAAGAGCAATAGTATACATTCAGACGTTGTTACCATTTCAATTGGTTAATCAATAGAAGAATTACTTAAATAATAGTTATCTGCTCAAACTCACCGACTGATGCTTCGGGACCTCCTGGCACTGCTGTAGCTCTTTGGAGGCGTCTTTGACCTTTTCTTGGACTTTTCCTCCTTCCTCCTGTCCCTGCTCAACATTAGCAAACAGCAGAACATTGCATCAAAAAACAGCAGTAAACTTGATCTACTGGTAGCTTTTTTTCAAAGTAGCGTGTATTCAAAAGGTGGCCGTTAAAAGTCATAACACAGACTCTGCACTAGTCGACACACTTTGTGGCCGATAAAAGTAAGTTGTGGTACAGAGGATCAGTGCAGCTGCTGACCTGGATTTACTGCGGCGGCTCCGGTCTCGAGAGTGAGTCCTCCTCCTGCGGGGGCTCTTAGACCTCTTCCTGCTCCTCGAATGGGACCGCCGACGAGATTTGCTCTTCGAACGTCTGCCGAAATTAAGAGATTCAACATTTTATAACAGAAAACTTCAGTCAGTACGAAATATTCTATTTATGTCTTGTATGTAGAGGCCACAATCCATTTTGTTTTTCCATCTGACAGTGCGAGTAACCGTTTGTCATGCAGCGGTCTTTACCTGTGTTTTGAGCGAGACCTGGAGCGCCTGCGCCGGGAACGCGAACGGGAGCGGGAATGTTTACGTTTGTCATCCTTTTTATCTGCAAAAACAGTGAAAGAAGTTAAACATCTTCATGGTAGGAAACATAATGCTCACCAAGGGGTTTGAAATTAGCCTCATATTGGTGAGTAAGTCTCAGAAGGCTATAGGTGACGCTAGTGGCTAAATATTTGTACCAATAATAGTTTGTATCTTTTTTGGTTGTTCATTTTAGACATGTACTCAGACAATAGAACAAATATTCCACTGAACTAAATTGCAGCACAATATTTAATGGATCAGGACGTCAGCAGTACTATCCTGCTGAATGAAAGAAGATCAGAGCACTCACTTCCTGGCTCGATGGCGGCAGAGATGAGAGACTGTGCCTCTCGGACTCTCTTCATGGCCTCTTCAATCTCCTTATTGGAGGCATCGTTCTTCATCCCTGGATTCATGCCCAGTCCGGCTGCTAATGGATTCATTCTGAAAATGCCATCAATGATTTAGTTTTTCTCTTCAAATAAATATTTAGGATTGCATATTTTTGCAGGATTGTGGATCGTCTCTTACTTTGGGTCCATGGACTGCATGAGCTTAAGGAAGTCTGCAGAAAGAGCCTGAAAGAGATACAAAGAGGAAATGACTTTTAGAAAGAAATGATCTTATCTAAACATGCGGTGACTAAGGGCGACTGAGCAGGTGCTCACCTGGGGGTTCATGTTGGGGCCCTGCATTCCCATGGCAGCCATCTGCTCCATGTTAGGAACTCCAAGCCCCCCGAATGGATTCCCTCCCATCTGAAACAACACATGCTCTTTACAATGTAACCCTCTTGTGTTTACCTTCTTCAACACATAAATATAAATCAAATGTCAATTAATCAGACCTAGTAGAGTTTACATCTTCTAAAAAACAAATGTCCAAAACTCACAGAAGCCTGGCCGGTAAAAACATTTATAATATTACATCATTTGTCTTAGTTATGTTGAGGATTCAACTAAAGCTTCTTTTCATTTGTCGATAGACAGTTAATGAAAGTCTATGGTGATATCTTTCAAATACGTTTTAACTACTAATGAACCCAGAATGTAAACTGTTCAAATATATGTTATGACACTTTTGATCAACCAAACCTGTACAGTAATAGGAAACGATCACAATTTCAATGCAAAGTTTAGTCAAAGCTCACCAGAGGATTGGGTGTGGGAAGAAGGCCCCCCCCCGGCATCATTCCTGCCACGGCATTGGCCGGAGCGAGCAGCGACATAGCTTTAGATTCATCAGGAATGACTCCTGGAGAAAAACAAAAACATTTCAGTACACGCATGGCGCAAACATCGATAAACACTCAGACAAGACTTGCAGACAAGCCTCCTCTTACTACTCTGAGGTAAAAAAATAAAGTATGAAAAATCCACTTTTTTTGTCTTGTCTGTAAATCTTGATCCCTGACTTTTTTGTTGTTGTGAAAGTATGATTGTAGGATTAGCAGCTATGAGTTTATAAGTCACAATACACACTGGTCAACACTGCCAAGATTTTTTCACCTGAACTTGATTTTTAAGTCATGAACCAAACGTGAGCAAGCACAGCCAGTTGTCCCGTGGGATGTGCTCTCAACTTTCATTAGATGTTTTATGAACAAGCGACTCGTGCCGGCTGCTTCGCTATAAAGCACACAAAAACATTGAGATACAGAAAACAAAGTTCATGATTTGGGTGTAGACAAGGATACATTTCAACATCACTTACCATTACCTATACTAAAACAGAAAAGGTTCACACATATTACCTTTTATGGGCTTTTGTTGGTGTTAACTTTGTACAATCCCACCAAAAAACAGAAAAACTTAAATTGGAGACCAGATCAAGTATTGCCAACAAGCTACAATACTGCTAAATTGTATCCAACAGTTTGTCACTAAAAGCACTAAACAATATCAAAGATAAACTGCACTTAACATTAAAGGGCTATTAAAGCTGTGACAAAATCATGACAAATGTGCCCAGAGCTGAAGAAACCAAACAGGAAAATCTAAAGGGAAAATCTTATGGAGATGATCATCCATGGTGCAATCTGAAAACAGTCTATTTATAATCTGACATTTTACTTTATAATTTTTTTTTTTTTTAAATAAAAGGGGGGGAGAGAGGGAGACACACACACGCGCCCACACACACACAACAGAAAGGACACTTGAGAAACAGGATAAGGCTGCAGAAGACAAAACTGTTGGTGGCATTTTCAGGAGGGCCTGGTATATAGGGCTGGCTGAACCAGGAAAAAGAACTGTAAAACACAACAACAAAAGAAACACCACTGTTAAATGTGAGATTCACTCAACTCATGTGTGGAGAGGGTCAATAAAAAGCATTTGTACTGCAACATCAAGCAGAGAAACTACTTTCATCTGGTGTGTTAGTGAAAATTTGGAAATACAGATGCAGTTTAAAATATCAAAAGGCTTTGGCACATTCAGCAGGTAAATGCCAAAGGCAGTTTGTGCGCTTATCATGTTAATCAACTTCCACAACACCTGTTCAGTCTAACTGTAGAGGATGGCACACACCTTCAAAATCTATTCTAGCATGCACAGCTGATTAGTCCGTCTACCCTACATGCTTTGTGCTGGTATAGGGATGCCCCGAACATTTAACCCCAATCTGAGCCATTTAATATATCCATTCTGCCATGTTCCGATCCAATATTTATATTTTCCTTTATTATTCAGCTATAATCAAGCCAATATTACACTTAGTAATGAGATTCAGTTTGTATATGTTTGGGAAACAGCTCTGCATTAAAGGAAAACAAGGCTACACCCTAAACACCCACACAGGAGAAATGATCAGGTATTACGCAGATTAGACTTCTCTTTAGCACCGAGTGGACCGATCTATTAGGGCGGGACAATTTACACCTGGAGCTAGGAGACATTAGTAAAGTGCCCGCTATAGCCCTGCCCAATAAACCTACAAAATATGTCTCATCAGCCATCAGCTGAAAACAGCAGTGCATGTGCAGGGATTAATGTGTTCCTACAGCAAGCTAATTGTTTTTGCAGCAAAGAAACTACATGCAAGTATGCTACAAATTTCTTACAATATATTTATTTTTAAAAAGAGCTGTGAAACAACTGCAGAATGCATATTGGTTCAAGCACAATGGAACATTGTAACAACTGGTGTTCCTTTCGTGCAAAAGGTTTAAATATAAACAGAGGATCAGAGAGTGTGCATGATTCAAAGCCAATACATTTAAATATGTCTTGTCCGATTTGATCTGCCTCGATACAAACCAGCAGATCTGCTCGGGGCATCCCTAGTCTGGTGCTGCTCATTGAAATGTATTTTAATGTAAAATGTATTTAAACATGTGAGGTATTGAGATTGCCCTGCACCCTCTCCCACCACCCCCTCATTTTGCTTAAGAGTTGTGTGGCTATCCTTTAAAAAAAAAAAGATGCCTTAAACAGAGAGAAACAAAATAAAGAATTAATATTTTACTGGAGAACAAGAGAGAGAAGGGGGCTTGCGAGCCTGGTGCCATTATTTTTTCTAATCTCCTGATGGCAGCAGAGGACCACTTTCAGCCAGCAAGGAAGGGGCTCTCTGCAAATGACTTGTCCACTATGAAACCACAACACAAATAACAGAGAGAGAAGTTTACAGCTAGATTGTCAGACATGGACACAAATTCACATTTCCCTTGTATATACCTAATAATGCCAAGCATTGAGAAGCTTAGCAATTTCTCTTGGTCACAAAATAACTCAATGTGTTTGCAATTCTATCAAAAATAACCTACACATTGGGATGTATGTTTAGAGATAGCCATGTGAGCAGGAGAGTAATAAAGCAGACACCCACCTTCAGCAAAAGGGACCACGATCAAAGCTCGGTCCACGAAGACGGTGTTCGTCAGGTGTTGGGAAACTCCCACCGACTCAGACTCAAGGAACTTTACAAAACAGACACGTGAAGTCACAGGCAAGGGAGAGTCACTGGAAGAAAATACAGATATGTTGTGCAAAGAATACAAACAAGGAGAAAACATGCCTTCTTCAAACTGACCTGATTGAGTTTTGTGTCCCCAGGGACAAGTAACTTAACAATGGATCATGGTATATACAGTCTCTACATCCTCGATTTAGGCAAACAATGAATCTTAGGATATATTTTGTAGCGTATATAGTGTAATCACAACTCTCATTGACACATTTGTTGAGAATCTCTGTCAATCACTGACGCTTTGAACCTTTGTTGTTGTTAGTCCTCGACATCTCCTACCTGCTGACAAGCCAGGTGTAATTGGATACAGGAAAATACAAAGCAGAGAACAATTATTTCCTACTATAGCCAACTTTGAAATACTGTATATTATGTATTAGCATCCCAAGTGAGAGGCAGGGACCTTAGAAATTGGGCACAGGAAGTGACTGGCATTACACTATAAGCATTGAATTAGTCTGGTTTTCCACTTCGTATAAATCAGGATTTTCTACTTAAGGAAATACTGCAGCTGTGACTTCTTGAATCTAGAGACGAAAGTCATGGTCCTCATTGATTCATCTGATAATTACTCAATTCAGTTTTTAGTATATACAAATCACAAAGAGAAAGTCATAGCAAGAAGACATGGACAAAATATCCCATTTACAGTTTTTTAAGCAGAGAAAGGCTTTGTGCAGGGCTGAAAAAACGAATCAATCGCACCAACTATCAATACAAATGTAGGGGTCATTTATCAAACAAAAATGCCATACTAACGCTATCATAAATAACTCAAATATGATAATTGTCAATTGAATATCTTTGTGTTTTAGATTAAACAAACACTTTGTATGGAAACTTTGATTTACCATTTTGTAAACCTACTTTCAGATTGGTGGCTAAGATAATGAAGCAAACACAACTGGTTTAATTCTCATGTACGACTGGGAGCTATCACACCACTAAGTCTGTTTAAGATAGGACATTTCATTCTGTCCTACATCTCTCTAACAAACACAACATGAGAAACTATCAGTATTAGTCCCGCATGCCTGCTGAAGCTTCCACTAAAGGCGCGGGGAAACGTTAGGATTAGCATGAGGCCTACTCGGCTCTGCAGGCCTGATGAGAGGCCAAGCCCTTAACAACTTTAGCTCGGCAACATAGCGTTGTACTTATTTATATTTCACAATACTCACTCAGGTGGAAACAGTTTGAGCTCCTCTATGTTTCCGAGGAATCCGAACAGAGTACGCATTTGCTCGGACGTTGTGCTCGGGGAAACATTAGTCACCTGAATGACGTGCGTGTTAGAATTCATTTTGCAATGAGTGCTAATCGAGCTAGCTAGCTCTGCGCCAGCAACGTGCCTGAATTTAAAACAAAAAAAGACGAGCTATGTTGTGTTTACGAGGAAAAGAGCGTCAGGCGATTACAAGACCTGGCATTTTTCCTGTAAACAGAAGCTGGTTAATGTTTGCTGCGGGCTAATGTCTACGACAGCCGCGAGCACAGAGCAACAATAGCGCTGCCGAAAATGTCGTGAGGCACTGATGCCGCATTAAGGTGCAGTTTCTAAACTCGTATTTATGAATGTTCACCTTGTGTGTCCCAGTAAAATGGTGCAAATAAATATGACTGTATTTTTTTGGTTAATTATTGTGGGGGGGGGGGGGGGGGAATCGAACACGTCACATTACCATATATTCTTACTAAATATATTATTAGGTATTTGTTGTTTTATATTAAGAAAACGTTTTCATGTTATATTTTGTTCTTAGAATATGTATTTTGTTATTAAAAATACTGAATCGAATCATCAATGAATTATTAAAAAAATAAATGTATTCATATGTAATACATACATGTATAACGTGCAATTCTTCTACAACGATTGCTGAGTCGTTTATGTTAAAGTTTATGTTAAAAATTGCCCTTTTCCAACAGTCTTTAGAGGCAGCATGGCTGAACCCAAAGTGGGTGTGGCTAAATTGCGTCACAGACAGTATGTTGTTGCTAGGTTGTTAGCTAGAGATTTATCCAACTAGTCGTTTTGCCATTTTTTCTCTCGAAATCACAAAGCCCTGCAAACACCGTAATACCGAAAGAACGACGCATGTATGCAAGGGTGCATATGCATTTTAAACAACTAAACAGCTTTGCTTTATGCTCGGGTTAAGCAAACAGCGTCGGACTCAACGACTAACATAGAGGCGCAAAGTCGACGTCTGCTAACTTAGCATCTTCGTAAAGCAGCTGGCATGTCAACATTTTGCCGCAGGGTGTCTTACTGCAGGGATTTAGTTTTTGGGGCATTTCGTGGACTTTAACCGTATAATTATTGTCAATGTTAAGTTAGCCAATGCAGCATTACTTAAGAAACGTGAGGCTCTAGAGACACGGGGCGAACAAGATGGCAACATGAAACTGCAGAGATCAACGACAGGCAAGTACATACAGTTCTTCTTCCCCATCTGTTAAACCAAATAGTATTGTGTGTGCATGTTAACTAATGAGATTAAGAGGTTGAGAGCTTAAGTTTGCACGGTGCAACATTGGCGAGGAATGGTTGTTAAACCTGCGATGCAAGAGCTCTTGGAAACTAGTATATTTTGCCCATAGACTGTTTACATAAAGATATACCCCAAACACTATGAATATTATGGAACCCATGTATTCCAATTCAAGAAAAATACGATTAAAAGGTATACATACGGGCTTTGAGTATTGGAAGACATAAAGTACCTGTCATATTTTACTGTGGTGTTTCACTAAAGGTAAAGGTAACATAATGCACAAATGTAGACCTATATACTGTTTATTGCAAGCAGTTCCATCTCTGTATTTCAAGACTGAAGTATTGTTTTTTTTCTTACAGGAAGATGTCGGTAATTTACCATACATAACTACAACATGGAGGGACATAACCTGGTGACTGTAATGCCTTGCACACCCCCACTCTTATGACACCAACAGGGAGATATGGGCTTCCTCAGACTGGTGGTCAGAATCATGGGTAGGATCAGTACTTTCCGGTCCTATCAGTTTGTGCTTCTGCTCGCTGCTGCGCTTGCTGTTGCAGCTTTTTACTACTTCGGCTCAGAGAGGCAGAACTTCTCCAGCACCACAAAGAGGATCAAGCAGACCCAGTCCACACACAACACCAACAGAAACGATGCAGATTTAACTGTGGACACCAGGCTCTCACCCAAAGATGTATCTGAGGAGCAGGGAGAGGAACAGCAAGATGTGGGAGGAGTGAGCGAAGAATTTAGGCCCGGGAAGGGAGAGATTGGTGGCTCTGGTGACCAACACTACCATGCACTCATGATGTTCACCAAGGTGGACAAAAGTCGGAGTCTGCAGGACAAGTTCAGAGTGGCAATGTTGTCTATGGTGAAGCACGGAGATTTTATGGAAGGAGAAGTGTTGGTCCTTCATTTTGTGAGCGATCCAGCCAGCAAAGAACTGGGAGAGAAGATGCTGCAGGAATTTCTCCTTGATGCAACGTTTAAGTATGAGGTAAGCATTCTAAAAAAGTTAAACCATACTAGGAATCTGTTATCTATTGCTTTCAATATAAGAGGTTTTGGTGCCCTTTTTAAGGGTTCTTGTTTCAAATAACTACTTCATTTTATTTTCCCCCAGTAAATTAACTAAGTGAGTATTGCTATTCAAATCTCTGGTGTGATACAGTGGCAGAGAAACACATCTTGTATTTAAACTACACAGCTCTGATGAACCCACAGTAGAGTTTCTTACGGATGCAAAAGAGTACCATTATGTTAACTTAACCAACATATTTTTAACAGGAATAAATCAGTCAAAGACAAACACATATGCTGTAGGTGCTGTTTAAAGTTGAAACACATGGGGGCAGTGTTGGCCTGCAAAACTCATTCCTTACTGATGCAGACATCCCCTCCCCTACTGTGTTCTCTCAGCCAAAACAGAGGATTATGTTCCCTTTGTGTTGCATGCAATGTCCTGCCTTGTTCATCCTCTTTTGTATTCCTCTCAGAGCACAAGATCTTAAAACCTGTTTACAATTTACTGTCTCTGATCCTCCTCACCTGCCAGACCTTTCCTCTTAGGAATGTCTCATCATCGAAAACATCTGCTGTTGTTTCAGCTTTGTATTGTCTCAGGCTGATCCCATGCCTGCTCTGGTAGGGCCGAGGTTTACTCAGCTTTGCACCTTGGCAGTTTGGAGCCTGTGGGTCAGATGGCTTGCTGCTCATTTAACTCTCTGTACTTAGACCAAGCTAAAAGTCTTGTAGGAGAAAAACTGTGTGTTGAGTCAAATACAGAAAACATTGATCTGCTGTGTAAGACAAGACGAGCTATTTCTTAAAGAATACACGATACTAGCGTGCAGAGATTATCAACCAAAACACTTCTTTCAAGTATAACTCAGCCAATAATTATAAAGGCTCTGTATTAAAGTTAGTAAAAATACAGAACATGGATGGGATGCTATGGTGGTCAAAAAAATCTGTCCACAGTCAGAGACACAGAGATATAAACACCTGTCAAAGTACACACAAAATCTTCTTCAGTAGCCAATAAGTACGTAGGGGTTGGGGGTATTTCATAATGTACAAGTCCCAAACAGCTCATGAAATCAGCTATAGCAATCCCACATTATGTATGTACACCATCAACATTAATAATAGTGTTTCTCAGATAGATAGAGCTGTTTGTTGTGTATTCGAAATGCATTTGTTGTACAAGTAGGAATGTAGCTGTATGCAGTTAAGCATATTTTACTTATCAGCTGACATTTGCGGTGCTGCCAAAGTGCCAATATATCTATGATATGCCCAAAATCACCAAAAATAACATACTGATGTATGAGTAATCAATCAATGTTTATTTATATAGCCCAATATCACAAATGTTACATTTGTCTCAGTGGACTTCACAGTTTGTACAGAATATCAGTATGACAATACGACACCCTCTGTCCTTAGACCCTCACATCGTACAAGGAAACACTTCCAAAAAAGGAAAAACCCCTCAGTTTAAAGGGGAAAATGGGAGAAACCTCAGGGAGAGCAACAGAGGAGGGATCCCTCTCCCAGGACGGACAGACGTGCAATAGATGCCGTGTGTAAATCGAAAAGATAATACATTTACAACATAGGTAGACCAAATGTTTGAAAATGCATGTGTCTATAATAAGAAGATGAATCCACAAGGATGTCAACAATCCTGTGGGAGCCATCAGGGAAGTAGTATGATGAAAGTCAGGCAGGACCACAGTGACAGGTTCAGCCACGACTCGAAATCCAGGACTCAGATCAGCACTCAGGATCAGCCATGACTCAGGATCCCAGCGTAGATAGACACCAAAAAGAAATTTGGGGGAAGCTGGGTTATTCGGAACATGAGAGTGCACAGGTACAGACAGAGAGAAGGAAGAAGTAAGGTGTCCCCCGACAGTCTAAGCCTATAGCAGCAAAACTAGGGGCTGAATCTAATCAGCCCTAACTATAAGCTTTATCAAAAAAGAAGGTCTTAAGCGCACTCTTAAAAACGGATAGAGTCTGCCGCCTGAACACAAACTGGAAGCTGATTCCACAAAAGTGGAGCTCGATAAGAAAAGGCTCTGGTTCCCATTGTACTTTTAGAGACTCTAGGAACAACCAACAACCCTGCATTCTTGGAACGCAATGCCCTAGTAGGACAGTAGGGTATAATGAGTTATTTAAGGTAAGATGGCGCCTGCCCATTAAAGGCTTTGTAGGCGAGAAGAAGAATTTTAAATTATATCCTGTGTTCTATAGGGAGCCAGTGTAAGGCAGCCAGAACAGGAGTAATGTGGTCCCTTTTCCGAACTCTGTTTAGTACACGAGCTGCAGCATTTTGAATCAGCTGAAGCGACTTAACTGACTTCTTGGTACACCCTGATAATAAAGAGTTACAATAATCAAGCCTTGAAGTAACAAATGCATGGACTAGTTTCTCTGCATCATTTTGAGGCAAGATATGCCTGATTTTTGCTATGTTACGTAGATGAAAAAAGGCGGTCCTTGAGATTGATTTTATGTGGGCGTTAAAGGATAAATCCTGATCAAATATAACACCAAGATTCCTTACAGTCTCACTGGAGACCAAATTAATGCCATCCATAGTTAATATATCTTTAGATAGTTTGTTTCGTAGAGTCTTTGGGCCGAGTACAATAACTTCAGTTTTGGCCGTGTTTAACATCAAAAAGTTTAAGGTCATCCACGTTTTTAAGTCCTTAAGGCAGTCTTGAATTTTATTTAGATCAGGCTTGATGGATAAATATAGTTGAGTATCATCCGCATAACAATGAAAATGTACTGAGTGATTCCTTATAATATTGCCTAAGGGAAGCATATATAATGTGAACAAAATAGGTCCAAGCCCTGAGCCCTGTGGCACTCCATGGCTAACTTTGGTTTGCATGGAAGATTCATCGTTGACACACATACACTGAGAGCGTTCAGATAGATAGGACCTAAACCAGC